TCAACCTCCTAATTAGCGGAATCTGCTTTTTTTCAGGTTCTGTTTACTAAAGGTCACGAGCCGAAGAAATGATATTCAGTTTTTAAGGAAAACAGTTCATTGAATTCACACGCTTTTGAAAGGAAGTGTAATCTTACTGTGGTCTAGCAATTTAGCTTTTGTTGTGAATAATACAACCAAGGCTGTGGTTTTTAGTGGGAGTATTCTCTCGAGCCTCGAGTCCCATAAGTTAACTCTGCTTTTACGTGCATTTTCGCTCGTGCCGGCATAACAAGGCTTTACTTCTGTTTCAGATTTAGCTTGATCTTATAACTCTGAGGCTTCCGCTCCCCCTTCAATTTTTTACAGAGTTTTGCATTGGTTTTTTGCCCCTTTTAATGCTTTTCGGTAATGGTAGCCGGATAGATGTGTAGGAGGTAGGGGCGTCGCCGACCTGTTCCAGGTGGGCACGCAATGTGATGCCTGAGATGGGCGGTTCCGTGGTGCTTGCACAGACGTAACGCAAACTGAGTACAAAAGCTCGGCAAGCCTGGTCACAAGTGGCGCTGCCGCCTGCGTGGATCTAACCCGGCGATGTTATTGAGAACACACCCGCATGCGAACGCAAATGATAAAAAACAGGCCGACAGTAGACCATAGAAGGGAGAAGCCGGAAAACTCGGAGGCATTACCTAGGCATGAGGGTTTTGGAGTTCGAAAACCGACTAGTGAGAAGAGTGCTCCAATCCCCGACAAGAGCAAGGGACTGGTTGACGAAAGACACAATGCACCCCAGCTGTGCATTGACATCAACAGTCTTACAATCCTTTGCTAGGATTTTGCCATCTACAGATGAGGCGCAGAACGAAACGGTCCAACTAAGCACAGATTCTTAAGATAACAGTCGGATTTCGACCCCAGTTAAACCCGTCGTGTCTGGGAAGGAGGGAATCGCATGTAAGAAGCCCAAGCTGGGTAATCTGGAAATTAGGAAGGCTAAACCTGGATCTGTAAGCAAGTGGAATGGACAGCAGACCATGCGAGTGGCACAAAAGCTTTTCAAAACAAGCAAATAGTCACTCACGAACGAGGGAGGACTTGCAGAAAAGACGACAGCTCAACAAAAGTCGCCCAGGTATCAACAAGTGGCAAGACAGGCCACCGTCTGGGGTGATTCTTTGGTCATCATGAACCTGTCGGATAGCCCTGATCCCCATACAGCCTTCAGGACGAGAATGATGAGGTTCTATGCTACATGTGCAGAAGCTGAAGCTAGGCCACGTAAAACCAGTGGCTGCAAATAGGCTGTCACGCAGCCTCCATTCAGTAACTGAGGGCAGGCCCCGTCTCTTAGGGCTCACATTCTCCAACCCCGATGGTGTCGAGGACGTGCTGTTAGCGTCTCATGTGCTAAAAGTTGAAGGGGAAGTAACGGTGCTGCCAGATATCTCACAGTGCGAGAGAATGGCTCTAGAGAATCTCTTGGGTGACAGCCGTGACGCCCGCCTTGGGGACGAAACTTGATAGTACAAGACATATCAGAAAACCCAGGCACCGAGAATATTCACAACCATCCCCGTAAGTGGAAGTTCCTCAGGGATACTATGAACCTCAAAAGAGTAATCACCTAAAGCGTTTCACGAATGTCCGAAAAAGACGATGACCCCGGACCAGTGCTGATAAAAGTGGTCCTTCCGGCCTCTCAAATGGCAGCATCCACGCGTGAGGTATTCTGGGCGAGCAGAAATTGCTGCCATCTGGAGCCCGTGTGCAGCTTGATAGGCCGCAGAACGAGGGGCCGCAGGAATACAGAAAAAACTGGGACTACCTGTACCTCTGAAAGGCTGAATAGGTGCAAAAAACGAGGAAGGGAAGAAGTAGCGGGCAGCACCTAGGCACATTCCCAGCTCCCACGCCTGAGGATTCAGCCGACCAAACAGAGAATAAAGACGGTTCAGGCATTTCGTTCCAGGTGGATGGCACAAACTGCATCTATATAAGTACAGGGTTTACCAGATAAACGAGACGAGCTGCTGGAACCAAATAAGGACACTTATACTCGTCTTATTGGCAATAATGAAACTGGTTTTTCCTGGCATATCACGTCAGAAGATGGTAACTGCTAATACCATGCTGTTTCGCAACGACAAGGATGGTAGGGAGTGGGGTAAGAATTTGCGCCAGCTCTTCTCTTTTAGCCCGCTGAATCCGTATCCAAGAACCGGAATGCCTCGGAGAGTCCATCTGATCCACCATAAAGCTTTCCAAGACCATAAAATGCATGGCAGGAGTCATTTATAGGAAGCCGTCTGCTGACCTGCAGTATGATGACCAGATGCTAGAGGCAATCAGTCGCTCTCTTAAACTGAGGCACACACACACAAATTTTAGGCGACTTTGACTTTGTAGATCACACGTTTAGCGGAAGTGACGATTCCACTGAAGCCCTGTCCTTCCACCTAGTTGGGGAGCTGGGACTTCGGAAAATGTGAGAACGGTAACAAGAGCGAGCGAGAGATACTCGAACCCCACAAAGCTTAGATTGGGTCTTCACAAATGAAGAATCCTTGGTTGACAGCATAGCAATCCTCCCTCTTTTGGGCAGGAGTGAACATGTTGTTATCGTCTTCCAGTTAGTCTGCGGAACCAATCCAACCAGACCTTTCGATGGGCGTAGTTGGAACTTATACGACTTTACACTCCGGCTCTTCTAATCGCACTGGAACAGATTGGAAAGTCAGCCATACACGCAGGATATGAACATTTATCGGAGATTCATACTTGACAGGATCACGGATGCAACTAGTCAGTCTGTTCCACTTTCAAGACCAAAGTGCTTGAAGTCCCCTTAGGTAATAAGGAACAACACTTGAGAACTACTTGGGCTAGAGAGACGGCACTGGGCTGAACACAAAAGGATCGGCGCCGAGTATACTTGCAGACAACTGAAACGGACAAAAAACACGTGTACGAAGGCATCCAGAGCCGATCGGCAGCAGCATCAAGTCAGGCTCACAAACGTGTTCGTTTCTAACCCAAGAAGTCCGCCCCGTTACGCTGCTTATTCTGGCTGGCTGAAGCGGGAGTCTCTCAGCTACTGAGTGCTAACGGACCGAATAGTAGCGACACTGAGGCAACTGACCTCCTGGCCGACAAGTATCCGCAAATCTTTACGTAATCGTCCATCTACTCATGAGCTTGTGAGTATTTCGCCAAAGAAGTAGGGCTCTTGGTCGTCGACCTAAGCGCTGAGCAAGTACGGCGCAAACTGCCACCGCTCAGCAAAGACACCTCTCCGGGACCAGGTAAAATCCACATGGCCGTACTGCGGCAAACAGCTTCAATCTAGTTCGAACCTCTAAGCAAGTTATTCGAGAATTCTCTGAGTTAGAGGAGCTGGGCCACATAACGTCAATCTTCAGAGGGGGACACTGAAGCAATCCAAAGAATTACAGACTTGTGACACTTCTGTCCATTCCTTCCAAAGTGATGGAATCGCTAATATACGATGGACTGAGGGGTTACCTCGCAAAGATCAACTTCTTTGTGGCACAACAACATGGATTTCGAAAAGGATACTCCTTCATTGCCAGCCTCCTCACTACAGTAGATGGGCGAACTGGGGTTGCTGCCCGTCCGGGACGAATCGTTGTTATCTCCTTGGGCCTTGCTAAGGTATTTGATAGTGTTGAACATGACCGCCTCATTGATAAAGTGAAACTAGTCAAGATTAGATTCCCGCTCACTCACTGGTTGTCGTTGTATCTACTAGGCCGCTCACTTAGAGTTCGAGTGAGTTTCTCCATGTCCGAAGAAACAGAATGTCCCAGTGGTGTACCCCAAGGTTCGGTACTAGGGCCTCTTCTTTTTCCTAATATACATAAATGACCTGCCTCAGCAGGTGTTTTTTGAAGTCCTTGTTTTTGCTGAACTTTGGGGAGAAATCAAGAGTCAGGAAGACTGTCCTTCTACGGGAAGATTTAACTCAACTTCACAACTGGGCAGTCAACAACGGCTGGCACTTAATCCAGAGCGATGCAGGGTGATACACGTGAAACATGATGCGTCTCATGTATATAGCCTCAGCAGCATGAAGCTTGAAGCATCACTGACAGGGGAGGATTTAGGCGTCCTAGTGCCCCAAGACATGAAATCCTATGCCAACCGTGACAGAAATGCATTCCGTGGAAACTTGGCGCCAGTTACTCTTAGACGGATTTTCGGACAACTTATTCGTAATTGCTTTCATCAAATTTCCAGCAGCTTCAGCCTCGCTTGGAGTTCTGGACCGCCAGAAGGACGAACTAAGCTTAAAAGTCATCCGGAGGCGTTCCACAAAATCTGTTCCAACACTTAGGTCTAAAACATACAAAAAACAACTGGTAACGCTGAATCTGTGTCCTCTGGAATGCAGAAGACCAAAAGGAGACTCGTTAATGACTCACAACATTCTGAGCATGCCTGGTTACCCACTCCGTCACTTATTAAATTCTAGTTGCAGCACTAATCTTAGAGGACACTGAGAAACTAAGCCTGGAACAGAGCAGGTTAGATATCAGGCATAACTTTCATTCCATAAAAGTTTTTAAACCCTGGAAAGCTCTTCTTGCAGACCTGACCCAGGGTATTTCGTCTAAATCCTTTAAACGCCCACCGGGTGCTTACTTGACATGTGGCTGGATCTGCCCAGAACTAATTGAGTTATCACATTTTTATACTGCTACGTTTTTGTTCTTTCTTTACTTGTACACAGGCTAACAACCACAAGAAATAGTGATCCATGGATTTTAAACTCGGAGGCCAGTTAAGCGAAAGCTTATTCTGTTCCGCCAAGAATCATTTGAACGACAACCAGAACTAGCTCCTAGTTTAACTTAGTACGTTGCATTCAAAGTGGTTGTGTCGTAAAAAATCTCTACTTGCAAATCATAATTAATTTTGATTAGGATGTATATTTGAATGGCGACTGTAAGCGTTCTCTGAACTAGACTTTCAGTACCGGTGAATGTAGGGAAAGGTGAATGGTAAGTATTATTCGGGCAGCATTCGAATACTGATCACATTGGTGCCAGTTTCCGGGCCTAAGAATAGTAGGCCGAGTTGTCTGTATTATTGCTGAAGATGTAAATCTGCACGTAGATACAGTTTCTTTTTGAGGGCGTCCACTGAAGGAGCAGTTACCTCGAGTTCCGGTCATAGGTCCCAGTCTCAGTCCGCATTTACTTCGGGTGCACTTTGGAACTTTCAGGTTTTAGCCCAAAGCAACTTTGGGCGCACTTGCCGAATTTTTGATATCCCCTAGACTTCTCAATTATTTTGACCCCCGTTTCCCATTTTATTGATTCGTGAAACAGAAACGCATGCGGCAATGAAGCGTGATGTGTATAATATTACTGTCAAATATAGCCTCTTAGAACTGTGGATATAAGTTATTCCAAAACTTAGTCCGCACCACCTACACTTTGCGAACTTCGGGCGCATTGCATACAATTTGCGGGCACTTTGGGAATTTCGACAGCTTCGGGGAATACCGTACATCTCTGCGCTTAAAGTAAAACTTACTGGTTTTTCGCCCAAAACCTACAATGTGCACCCAAAGCCGATGCCGACTGAGATCATGTGATCTATATAGGTTTATTTGACCGTGACGTTTGGACTTTTTTGTGGCGACATCTTAGATAATCAGTCATAGGAGTAAAACGATTGGACAGAAAAATACCTAAATATTTGCCCAGTCTCTGGTACGATAATGTAAAATCTACCTTTATTACTACTGTGTGGTAATGGAGAAAGATTCGAAATTTCCAACCGATTTTCACAGGGGATATGCAAAACTCTTGTCATTTACTTAGTACCTGCTCTATTTAGTCGTCCTACAGTGTCTGTTTCTTGCTTGAAACAAAGACTAGCTATCTTTGTGCAGTTTCCCAGACGAGGTCATACACAAGTAGGATTTATTATCTTAAATATTTATTCACCAAAGCCCAACGAGTGATTGAAACCAGTCAGAGCGGATCGTATCTGATCCCAGTATGCTAGTTAAAGATTTAGTTTTACCAGTCATCCCTTGTCATTGTCACTAAATACCTCTGAAACTAATCCAACTGTCCTTCCTCGTTTCATGTTACCTACGACTTTCTCAACTTCTGTTGTATTCAGGGTCCTATCTCTATGTTCCATCAGGATCCGACTGGACAGCGGGCAACGTGTGAGTAGCTGGAGGCTACGGAAGCTAGTTTATCATCTTTATGCATTTCCTGTGTATTCATTCGATCTATGAACGGCAGCCTCGACACTAGCTGTCAAGACCTCACCACCCAGAAACCCAATATTTCTAGGTTTTTTGCCCCCTTTTCCTTGGGACCTTCAGTACATTGACAGCTTCCATTCTCTTTATCTTATCCTCAAGTGACCAGTCAGTACTCTTAACCTCATGTGCATTCCTATGAACAATCAAATTCTCTTCTGGAGTACCCAGAACAACCTTCACGAGACTGTGCTCTGGCAACTTTGTCCGCCCACCTAATTTTAACACTCACATGTACTTATGCGGAAGACTGGTAGGTGTTTCATTACTGATGCAAAAAGCTGCAAGTCATAAACGTACTGATTAGATGCGTTCGGGTCTGGCGACTCTTCCAAGTCCCAAAATATTACACTTCAGTCTGTCTCAGGTTCTTAAAAACTTTGATACCTGTTTGACGTCTTTAGATACCTTTGGTGTTGATGACTATGTTCTTTGGTCTCCACTTGGACTGGGATTCTTCTATGTTATCTGAAATGTCATGCTGGTTTGAGTCGTGTGGTGCAATGGCTGGACCAGGATTGTTCAGTAATGGACTGACTAAACTGAAAAGTTAATTATTAACCGATTTACTGTTCTTCCTAAGCTGACACAAGGTCTTACGAGCAGGTGTTTGGACATCCTTACCTATTTCAAAGACTGTCATTGTGATTTTGTCTATTTATAGTTGTCTGACGCACATGATTCTGTCGATCTAATCTTAACGCCTGACCCCGCGCGTAATTAGTGTTGGATATGCTTACCCTATGTCGTGTGCTCAATTCACTCAAACAATTTATCATACAATCTGGCCATGCCAACTACGTACTACAAAACACAAAGTCTAATGCTTATTGTCCGTATGCGTCTTTTGGCAATCTGATTCATCTGTATATGTGCAACTAAATCACGCAACCACAACTCATCATATCCTAGAAAAAGGAGCAAACCAATTTCATGGACAGAAACTGATATCAGTCAACATGCAATTATTTCCGGACTGTAAGTCATAAAGAACGGATGGAAAGTCGATTGAAAGCTTTTAAACTGAGCTGTACAATAATGTCGCCAAATAACTCATAAATGAAATAACTTTCAAAATGAATAAAATAATACCACCGATCGTACTTATCTAAGATTCACGTTTTCCACTTTTCGTCCGATATAACGCGTTATTCTTACTTCCACTTCCTTGTTCGTCTTCATTTTTTGGGCTGACTTGTTGTACATGACACTGTTTGTCTTCATTAGACTCCAAACTCATAACATTGTCTGTAACATTACATGAAAGTCGTCTGGAGAACACACACCATCTCGAATCAAAACAGCCATTAACTTGCAACAGGAGTTCCATAGTCAAGGAGACGCAGGTTTATTGCACTGTTTTACTTCGTATGTCATGAAGTCAAGTAGTCAGTGACTAGTTATAGTTTTCACAGAATTACTCACCTTTGTTCCGAAATTTCGCTCTTACTATGATTCCCTAGGGCTTGATATTTTCTTTCCAACAGATCAACATCCCACGAAATAAGAGAAAGGCAAGAGATGATAGAAAGAAAGCTTTTTCATTGATTTTCAATAGTTTATAACTTATAATCTAACAAGAGAGTCTTACAAATGAAGTTCTGACCGTTTCATTTCAACTTCTAGATTCCAGTACATAATTTTTGAAAACTGGGGCTGCTAATTACTGACAAATATTCACGATAGTAACTCCTAGTTCACTGACAGCTTTTATCATTCACCTCAAAAATTCTGAATGTTACGAATTCTGCATTGTTTTGCTTATAATAAGAATAAGAAATCCCTAAACGTTCACTGTCTGAAGACCAGAGTACAACTTCTGACCACTTATTCCACGAAAGTTTTAGTTTTTCGTTTCTACCAAAAACATAGTGTGTCCAAAACTTTCTGGAAACCACGAAAAGCATTCACACGTGTTTGGATAGTTGCACTCACAATTGCAAACAAGAAATCACGAGTGATTCTGTTAAAACTAACTAAATTCGGCTGTGTTGAGATCTATCTGTGTCAACAAGGAAATCACACTTTAGTTTATGGATTGTGACATGCCACGCATAGAATATCCAATAAATTTCGTTTCATCTTCCATTTAAAGTTTTACTTAATAAAATATATGCTTGTTTTATATTGCCTCAGAACTGTCATAATTTTTTTTAATACAGGTATCATTTCGTTCATTGAATACCTGTTGTACGCTGGAGTAGAAAAATAGTCCGTTGCTGTGTGTAATCTACAGGTCAATACGTCCACAGTGATATATACATTGGACTACTTATCAATAAGATGACCGTTCCAACTTCACATGATGACAACTTCCAAGTACGATTTGATTTTGAAGAAGGTACGAAACACTAAAATTCACGCCATTACTTTCACTATTTTTATGTATCAGAAAATCTGAAGTTTGTTCTAAATCTGTTTTCTTGTATGAGTATTATCAAGTCTTTAATACGGTTTGTTTACATCCTTAACTAATTTATGGTCCCTAACCTGTGAATCTGCGGCTGTCGTCTAGGGAGATAATTATCAACCAGTGGGTCACGGGTCCGAAACCCGCTCCACACTCCGAAGCTTGGGTAGTCAGGTTGTATCACTAGCATCTCACAATAAGTGTGGCTCATTGCCTACCGCACGGATGTGCACAAGACGATTGAGTGCGTTTCGGTCTTTAACCTATTTTCTATATGAGCGATCTCTGTTGATCGGTTAGTAGCATCAACTCTCGTTGAGTATGACTCATAGCTCAGTAACTGACTTTGTATATGGTTTATAACTCGTGTGAACTATGATACTGAAGTGCTCAGTGCATATTTCGGGTTAGAACTTTATTTCTACTTAAGACCGAGTCAAAGTTATCCTATCGTCATATCTAACTCCTACTTGAGCTTGTCACAAACTAAGAGTATGTGTAAATTACTTCTGAATTGCCTACCAGTAAAGTTTTCTAAAGGTCTTCCTATTTAATAGTATACCGTAATAAAAAGGAACTAGCAGTCAGATTGAAAAATGGAAATCAAACCAGTATTATGGAGAGATTTTGAGATTAAAAGAGAAAGCTGATGCACCCGTGACATTAGCAAAAGCTTTGGGTTGTTACTCATTGTTTTTAATTTGTATTTCTATGGTTTTTGGGGTCTAAACGAGTATTCACAAGTTTTTCCACATAATTTGGTGTAGTATCGCAGTTAGGCAGTCAATAGCTCCTCATTTTGTTGCAGAACTTGGGCGTTGAATTGAGGGATGTACTTCGCTTATCTGATATAACGTGTGGTACAGCATTATTTACGGTGTATTTTTGTGTTGACATACAATAAACGTAAGGTCGAGGGGACATTTCTGCATTATTTTAGTTACTAGACACAGGGACTTGGCTAACTATGATAATAGGTAAGACCAAGATAATTACTTTCGAAGAAACCTTGAAGATGACCTTAGTTAGGTTACAGTCAAGTCGACATCAATATGAAACCTAGCATAACCGCATAAAGATCAGGCTTACTGTGGATCACATCACGATACAAAGCAGCAAGACAACAAGCAGCAACCGAAATTCATAAGAAAAAAGAGTGAAGGGAATAACAAAATGTGATATGACGATCAAAACAAAACGAGAAATTCAGTGAAGATATATTTTACGGCGATTTCATCCTCCACTGCTGTACAATCGCAATTTATACATTTTTGCTTAACTATCTTCAATAGTTACAAGAATTATTTAATTAAGCCTAGTAACAAAGATCAAGTTGAGTGAAGATTAAAAATCCACAAGTGTGATGGATGTAGGGTGGAAATTAATCACAAAATAGCATGGGAACCAGCATAGTTAACCGGACAGAATATAAAGTGGCGTAATATGTGGAAATAATTTTCAAGATAAAGCATGATCAAGGATAGCATAGAAACTAAATAAAGACGATATTGAGATATAAACCATAAAATATGACGAAATTGTGAATAATAAGAGAGAGAACAGAGGTCAATGTCTTGTTAACAATTTACTAAATCAAAGGTTGAACAAGTTTCGTTTGTACATATAATTCCGGTTCCTCCATACATATGACAAGAGTTTCTGCAATACAGAGAAGGTGAGAACGCACTATTGTTGGTAAATTCTTTTCCACCTTGTAGATGACTTCGAATGCTGAAAAAATTGTTATCCCTACCCTTGATCATGCTTTATCTTGAAAATTATTTCCACATATTATGCCACTTTATATTCTGTCCGGTTAACTATGCTGGTTCCCATGCTATTTTGTGATTAATTTCCACCCTACATCCATCACACTTGTGGATTTTTAATCTTCACTCAACTTGATCTTTGTTACTAGGCTTAATTAAATAATTCTTGTAACTATTGAAGATAGTTAAGCAAAAATGTATAAATTGCGATTGTACAGCAGTGGAGGATGAAATCGCCGTAAAATATATCTTCACTGAACTTTTCGTTTTAGCTTATATTCTGATGGGTTATTTCAATGATTTGTAGATTAGGATAAAGACGATGTGTGAAGAGGAAGGGTTCGATCCCGCAATCCGTTTTGATGTATCACTGTCTATACTTTTAACGCAATTAATACTCGGATGACTATTTTGATTCTCATTGAACAGCGGAAGCCTTTGACCTATCGTAAAACTTTACTTATATTATATTTCATAAACTGCTTTAACTGACGGAAATTTATATGCCACTTAAAAGCCATAAATAGGCTTGTACAATTAGTGTAAGTTATGTTTTATTCAAATGAACCAGGGATACTTGTAAATGGGTTTAGATTTTAGTCCATTGAACTAATTGGAAGTCAATGAACTATGCGTGAACACTTGCTACTCAACAACCATATAAGTTTGGTGTACACCAGCTTGTGAACCACACGTTTAGACATTAAACTATGCCACCTAAATCGAAGTAAGCACAATAACATCTGTCTGTCAGTCACCTAATTGAGTAATCGCTTGTTCTAACCAATGTTTCAAGTTGGATTATGTTTTATATTTTTCGATTTATAATTAAAATTTAGCTCTTTCACACTGCACTCCTTTTTAAAAATATATTGTATTATGTATGCATTTATTATCACAAGAATATAAAGAACTCAATGCTCAGTTGGATGCGTTAGCAACTTGTCTAGATATATTAGAGGCGAAAAGTAAAAAGCTATGCGATGAGGCCAAACACTTGGTGATTGAATGTAAAGTGCAAAGAAATGAAATACCTTGATCAATTTCAATAGTATTTCCTGAGTTGATTCAGCTCCGCTGTTTCTATTTATTTTACATATGGGATACTTTTGTCATATTTTTGCCTTGATTATTTATCATAACTTTGTGTTTGATTAACTGTATTATGTAGATACATGTATGTGTATCCAATCCTAAGAAACAATAATGATCAGTTAGTTATTTTATTGACTTTCCCACTCGACATTTTCTGAACGATCAGAAGAGTTACGCTGAATACCTGTGTTATACCGGTACATCCGAGTCAGTTAGTTAGATGAAGTTTGGTGAGCATACCACTGATACAATAGTTTAAAAACAGACATACTTACCTTCGACTGCTTAGATCATTTTGAGATCAGAGAGGGAGAGAAATTATAAGTACCGTAGGGATATTTTACTGTTTACACACCGTAGACTTAAGAATCATTCTGGAACTACTCAGATTTAAAATTTCTTAAAAAAGTTATCTGTGTTGTTCACAGAATGACCACGATCTGGATGCACTTAGAATATACAAATGAGACTAAATATTTTTGTGATATAATCCAACACAGCATACTCGTAATTATATGTAATTCAGTTGAAAATTCGTGTGGTAGGATAATTTCAGACTATGTAGAATTTTCAAATAGTTTCGTTTATCAAAGGAGGTTAGTTTAAAACCCACTAAGTAACTTATCAGTCGTTTTGTTGGAGTGATTGAGTTCCCAACTGTTGCACAACATTTGAGTATAAAAATACTCTAGCTATTTGCTTCAGAAATTGAAGAGAAACAAAGCTAAGGTAGCAAGAAAGATATTATCTCGAATTACAAATCTAGCTTGTCCAAACCAGTTTATGCATAAAAAACCCTTTGATTTTCGCTTAACTACTACTTAATCAGTGTTATAGCTTGGTCTTTTAGAAAGTAAGTCAGTGTAACTTAGATTCGACAAGCAAGGAGGATTATCACTTACAGATGGAATCCCTTGGTCAGATGTTCACAACAGCACTGGTAGTTGCAGGAACTTACAACCATACCAACTCCTTATGGTATAGTAAAGCAGCAATGTCGACCGTCCCTTGTTATTTCTATACCCCATGTTGATATTAACTGTTTGGTCGACGATACAGTTGGAGATAAATTTAACAAAGGTCGTATAATCAGATACATCCCCTTCAGTAAGTCATAATGTTTAATCTTCTTAACAACACGGGACGCGACGACTTCCGTACAACACCAGTAAGGGGTTCGATTTCTTATGCGGATTTTCTCATTAAAGCATGTGAATCACTGGTAATGAAGTGAAAATACAGAGGCCACACATGGTGAAATCCACTCCTAGAGAGACAGAAGCAAAGTAGAACCTCCCACGCAAGTTTATCGGTCCAAGTTGCTACACTTCACAGTAGTATACAAAAAAAAAAGTGGAAAAAGACTAACGTCAAAATAAAAAAAGGTACGAGAGAGGATAAAAAATCAGATGACAGCCAGTACGAGTATTCAAGCTTCGGAAGACGACAAGGAGTGAATGTATCTTCGCCACTGTGACCGATTTTCAGCCATGTCATCAAGAGGCCTCAGCCACTGATTCCTTTCGTCTCGACGACCCCAACCAAGCAGTCTATATCTCCCCCACACGACTGAAACAAGCATGGACTTCATCGACTTGTGCCACGTCTTGATCCTGCCACCCTGGACCCTCTTCCGATCTAATCCAACTTCCTCTAAGCCTGGGACGTCGAGGTAGGCGGTGACTCGGCATGCGCAATACATGCCCAAGCCATCTCAGTAGACTAATGTTCACGACATCAATCAGCTTGCCTAGCATCATTCGTCTAACCCTGATATGGCTAACATTATGATTCCCACTAAACACGAGCAATGGTATGAAGATACATACGGTCAGAACCCTGTAACCGCTTTCTGTCTTCTATTCTTAACTGCCATGTCTCTGAGCCTTACAACAGAAAGGATGAACTACAGTGGAGTATACTCGTCCTTTGATAGATAGTCGGAAATCTTGCCAGTCGGCAAATGAAAAACGGTTCTCCTGTATCCTAGCTGAGATTCTGTCAGCAACCAGCCCGTACAGGCAGATGTAGCTCTCTAAGTGAATGAAGTCGTCGACACATCCAACCACTTCACTCCCTATCATTAAACTGAAAGTACTTGCAGCAGGCCAGTCCTGAAGCATCATCTTACATTTGACATGTATCAGCCAAACATACTCAGATTTCTACTCAGCGCGTTCACAAGACCCTGCATAGTGTCGGCATTTTCACCCATCAGGTAAGTATCGTCTGCATACTCCAAGTCAACCAGAAGTGGATCAATCCTAGTGAAGTCACAGGCACCTAAGGTTATTTCCATTAGTATGTCTATGATGGACCTAAATAAAAACGGTGACAGGACATCACTAATTCTCGTAAATTCTGATTACAACTTTCCATAAGACCTAAAACGACCGAACGAGTCCCACTAGAGATCTTTGCTTAGCGTTGTATACTTGTTGGTTGATCGTTCCACATTTAGATACTGTTACAACACCTCACGGTCTACAGAGTCAAATGCCACCTTCAGATCAACAAATATAGCAAGTGTCAGCCGATGGTAGGTATACTTGTGTTCCAGAACCTGTCGGAGAGTGAAAATATGGTCGATGCACTCTCGTCCAGGTCTGAAAGCTGCCTGGTTTTCCTGAGTTTGCTGTTCTCTTGCTCCAGATAGGCGTCAGATCACCTGTGGATCCTAGGATCTTGGAAGCAATATTAGTCAAATTAATTTCCTGATAGTCGTCACAGAAAAACTTCTCTCCCTCTTATAAGCCTGGGATGGTCAGTGAAGTGGACCAGTCTGGTGGCATTACCTCTGGTTCTCATATGCTGCTATATAGTACTTCCGTCATTCTTATTCGTATTTTCCAAACTTCCATCCTTGTAAACAATGGGTAGTGACGTGCTACTGCTTTACATCGTTTCAAGTTCGATTCAGCCTTCTCAGCTTTGACGAGAATCGGACGACTGTCATCTACGTGGCATTCAGGTTCAGCCTGGAAGTGGGGCGGATGAAGCGTTGCTGGGGGCCAGTTTGACTGTGCTTCAATGTGGTCAGTCCAAGCCGTCTGTTCTGAGTTACCAGAGTCACATCCTTTTCCGTGATGTTTTCACTCACCATTGTTTTCTTCTTGTCGGTATCCTTAATAAGCCTAAATAGTTGCTGGGTGCAACCCAATGCTGATACCTTCCGTGTCTCTTACCACTGCTCGCGACCATTGTGAAGACTCTTGGTCAATTTATGTTTGAGTTGCTGTTACTCTTTATTGTGGTCAGAGCCCGCTGGAATCGATCTCGTATCAGTCAGTTCGGATGACGTCGCGGAAATCCAATGACACTTTTTAACTTTCTAGTGATGGTTGCCAACTGTTTTTATCTCTGTTTCTGCGGCAGACTTAATATCACCCCAGGTCTCATCGTGATGAATATTGCTGTCGTTGTCAGATGAATGCTTAGCTAACCTAAGATACAACTACTGAAGAACTTGAGTAGTTAAAAACAACCCAGGCTGGTCCTCAGTATTTCGTTAGCCAGACCAGATTGGTTTAAACACCGGACAGACATTTTGCTGGTTTAGGGCCAAGCTCATCAGCGGCGTAGTCGAACAAATTCAGCTCACAGACTCAAGTTACTTCAGTTCAGGTGATGGCAGTGTCTCTCCTAATGCTTGAAGTTAGTGGTGGCCAGGAACAAGTGGTTTTCAGCCCAAAATTCCAACAGACGACCACCTAGTCATTTCCTTGGCATGGGATTACGTAGAGACCTCCAAGATGCCTTTCCGATTGGTTCGGCTTCCCTACTTGAGGGTTAAAGGCACCTAGTACTATAAATATATCTGAACGTTTGCCTTCTGTTGCAAAATTGAAAACTTTAAATGTAATTCATCCTTTGCATCATGCGAACTTTAGTCGCTGGATGCGAAGGTAGAGATTACGAATAGGCATCGACTAGTCTACCGATGCTTCCTAGTTTTCAAAGATCCATCCAGTCGAGAAGCACATAGAAGCCTGTCGACTGGTGTCCAGTCGAGAAGTCTACTTTCTGCCATACGGTTCAATGCTTTGCCTGCACTAGGGAGTTCACAAGAGCCTGCAGATACTCGTAAAGTGAATTTTGAAGATTCGCTGCACTGGTCGTGATGCTAGCTTAGTTACAACACTCGAGTGCAGTATACATGTCCCAGAGACACAGGATATACATCTATGACTCGAGATTCCAGGGTTTTGGCGGGTGTTGCTTGCTGTCCAGTTTGGCAGAGTTCGCACGTTGAAAGCTTCTACATGAAATCGAACGTTTGGTCTTAAAAGGCTAGGAATGACGTTCCGATCGTTCTTATTGGTCGCAGAATTAGAGGTTCGGAAAGGAGGAGACAGAGTTGAGGAGAATAGGGTATGTTTGATTGGGTCTTGTGTACTACTGCAAGCGTGCGTGCACTTGACACTTCCCGGCTGCCCATACCGTGGAAGGCACCTAAAAGAGACTAGTGAGATCATGGGGCATCTGCTTTAGTCCTGTCACACATGGCATTTTGCTGGTTGTTGTTTTGAGGTTTGTTTGTTAGAGTGCCGGATAGAGAAAACTCATACGACCGGCACAGGAAGGTCCTGAGGCAAGGAGTGGGCTATTTTGGGGCATGACCTTTTCTAATCCCCCTTCCCCATAAGGAAGGCTGACAGCCTAACCACCACATCAAGGTAGTAACCATCGGCTGGGAGTAAAACTCCCGATAACATTTATATAAGTGTGTATCATATCTCAAATGTATTTTGGATGGTCTCCTGTATCCCAGCTGAGATTTCGTCAACAACTAGCGCGTTCAAGTTGGTACATCTCTCCAAGGAAGTGAGGTGGTTCACGCATTTCAACATATCAAGCGAGAATACACTAGGATGTATTGGAAAGAAGTAAGTAGTAGAAGTTGGTAGAAAGTCATGAAAAGATGATAAACAGAAACAGGAGGATAATTAAATGCGGTGTGACGATTTGGATAAAGATAATGTGTAGACATCTGTATCGTATCACTTAGTCCCCGACCACTGGTCCCTGTTGTCACCTGACGAGTCTATATTCTTTTATTCGGCCAAGATCAACAGCCAGAAATTTTATAGGCAGATGCCGTGCTTTAATCTAACCATTTTCCTGCCCGAACGTCAGTTTAAAAGATTGGGAGGCTTCATTAACTCAAAGTCAAAATGAGAGTGAACACCTAAAGACATTACAGAATGATGCTCTGGCTATGTCACGAATTAACTGAAGTTGTGAATGTCCATTCACAGACTGGAGAGTAATGTGTTCACCACAAAACAGGGTAAACTTGTGTGCTTGCTGGTGAATAGCTTCAAAGCAGCAACTGTATTTAGCACATTACGTTGATTGTTCATAAATCAAATATCTTCCTACATTAGGTATTGCTGTTGATCAGTTGCATGAAAAAGATAAGGACCTTGTAGTGTGTAATCTAAACTCTTCATATTGAACTTAGTGACTAGCAGAGAAATCCAGGACGCGAGTTTCTTCTTATTTGGGACTGTTCAGCTGGATGTACATGCACCCCAATGAGTGATGTAGTTCCCACCGGGGCTCTTTGTAATTAACGAGCTGGTAACTGATACTGACTCCATACTTTTGAATATCATTTGAAAACGATAAAACACGCCAGTGGAATGTGAAGAAAGGCTGTTGTAGTTATAGATAAATGTATATATTGCGATTAAAATAAAGGTAACAATAGTAATAATAATATAACCAAATCATTTTCAATACAATAATACGCAAAAGAGTGACCAGAACCACCGAAAATAATATTCAACTAACCAAAATGTGTCGACTACAACAACATTAAAAGGTATCTGGTGTAAGCCAGCATATAGTGTACATGTATCTAAATCAAAATAACTCACATATTAATAATGGTAATCGTCAGTCATTCACTGGTATTAACAATTGGTAGTAGTTGTATGAAGTGAACCATTTGCAGAAATGCTTATAATGTCATCACCCTGAATCACCACCGCATAGTGACCAGATATCCTAATCAATATTCAGTATGTTTCGAGTATACATCACACTTTGTATGCGAAATGAATTTGTTTGTTTTTTTTCTTTCAAAAAATCAGTTATAAAAGTTTTATGCATGTTTCTGACTTCTGAAAGTATTTCTATCCCTTTTTTATGCTTGTTACCTAAAAAAAAGACAACTCAATCTTCCTGTAATATTCTAAAGAAGAAAAGTTTGTTCATCGAAAAAGATAGTTTTCACTGTCTTCAAAATTGAACCAGTTTTCATTAAAGTTATGCTTATTAAGACAGAACGGATGACGGTTCTCATCGACTACTGCATATTGTTCCATTTTCCTGTTGTTAACTTTAATGAAAACCGGTTCAATTTTGAAGACAGTGAAAACTATCTTTTTCGATGAACAAACTTTTCTTCTTTAGAATATTACAGGAAGATTGAGTTGTCTTTTTTTTAGGTAACAAGCATAAAAAAGGGATAGAAATACTTTCAGAAGTCAGAAACATGCATAAAACTTTTATAACTGAATTTTTGAAAGAAAAAAAACAAACAAATTCATTTCGCATACAAAGTGTGATGTATACTCGAAACATACTGAATATTGATTAGGATATCTGGTCACTATGCGGTGTGATTCAGGGTGATGACATTATAAGCATTTCTGCAAATGGTTCACTTCATACAACTACTACCAATTGTTAATACCAGTCAATGTTATAAATAAAAACTGCAAAACAATAAAATATGGAAGCTATCCAACTAGGAATAGAAATAATTTAGCCTTTTTTAAAGTGAATATTTATATCATAACAACATTATTATTGTCATTAGTTTAAAAAAAAGATATATCTCCTTTGTTGCTAAACGCGAAGAGAAAGAGTAAGTAGTTGGGGAACGGAGCAATAAGGGAGGGGGGGAGAGGGACAAGGAAGTATGCATTTGTATTGGATAGTGAAAGATTCAAGTTGATGAATCCATTGGTTGACCATTACCTAGTACATAACCTGTGAATACAAAATAAAAAAAATCAAATAACAGAAATATAAATGTCGGGTCATGTTAATGAATGTATGGTACAAGTAGTTAGTTTTATACTGTAACTCAGTGGTCTGTATATATTAGAATACTGATCAGCTGGATGGGTACTAATTTCATCCACACACATGCACTTTAGCATTTTCATATAGAATGAAAGTCAACTTTCCACCTTAACTTCATCGACTTTGAAAAGACCTTCGACAGCGTCAAACGAGAAGTAATTTGGCAGTTGCTTCAACACTACAGAGTACCACAAATCTTTATCAACCTCATTTAACAGCTATATGAAGACGCCACATGCCAAGTGATCCATAAAGGAAAGCTCAGTGATGCCTTTGAAGTGAAGACAGGAGTAAGACAAGGCTGCAGCCTTCTATCACTCATGATCTTCCTGATTGTAATGGACTGGATCATGCAGCGAACTGTGAGAAGCGAGAACATGAGCATGCGCTGGCTGAACCGATGGAAAGACCCCAGGAGAAGATTGAAATTTCGTCGACGATGATTTATGTCGCACAAACTCGAAGATCTACAGGCAAAAACCAACAAGTTGACAGAAGAGGGAGCGAGGACGGAGCTTCAAGTGATGTAAAGACAGAGGTGATGAAGATAACCCAACCGATAACAGCACCAACAACAAGTACCAATCACCATGAACGAGAGAAACCTAAAGAAAGTAGTCTCTTCCACCTACTTAGGCAGCACAGCATCGTCTCAACTACAGGCGGTGGCGGCACAGATGAGGATGTCAAAGCCAGGATCGAAAAGACAGCAAAACAGACCTTCATTAACCTGAAATCAGTGTGGAGATCTGCTACACGCAGCATAAAGAACAACATCCGGATTTTCAACACTAATTCAGTCAAGTCAGTGCTTCTATGTGATGGTTTAGAAACTTAGAGCGTCACGAAAAGCACTTTCAACAAACCACTGACATGCATGATGAACAGCTGCCCCCTACGCTCACTCGATACTGAAGATCAGATGGCCAAAAAGAATGGGCAACAAGGAACTCACTCTGGCTGGTAATGAACCAACAAAAAACCTATCGCCCAACAAATACGCAGAAGAAATTGGAGATGGTTTGGGGACACATTGAGAAGGCCGATTGGGGACATCACACACCAGGCCCTCAAGTGGAATCCGAAGGGGAAACGACGAGTTGAGCGTCCCAGCTGAGTGACATGAAGATCATGTGAGGAAGAAATGAAAGTTTCTAGGTAGTCGTGCAGCCAGAGAACAGAGTGAAATGGCGACGTGCTACTGAAGCCTTGTGTTCCACTAGGAACTCAAGGAATAATAATAACAAACATAGAGTTATCCTACGAATTCAGAATAGTGTAATGAGAGAAAAATGTGAACGGAGAAGTAGAATGGCATGAAAAAAATAAAATATAACGTATGTAGCATAAAATTGTACCCTAGTATAACTGCATTATTTTAAACCAATCCGACCTGACATGCAGGTACAATATTTACAGCTCAGGTTGTGGATGTTTTGACAGTTTGATTGTTCTTTGAAGTTGAGTTTTTATAAAGGAATAAAAACTTTTAACTTCTTCAGCTAGTGCGTTATTTCTTAAAGCAGTCTAACAAGGCAATGGTTTTTTCTACACAAGAAATAAGACACTATAAGAATATGAACGACATGTTCAAAATATGTGCCAAACATTAGGCACAACATACAATAAGGATACAAAAATACAATTTCTCACTCACGCTGTGGTCCCCAAATACATAATTCACCAGAATCATTTACTGAAGCAATCATTGTAGGTAATACTGGATTCCAGTGAACACATGTAATGGGATCTCTATTGCCTGTGCCTGGAGATGAATGGATAGGATGACTACCACTACCAACATGCCAGATATGTATACGACCGTCTGGAATGTGGAAAAAGTAACAATAATCAAAAATGATTGAAGTTAAAGATAAATTGGAAACTAAATATATCTGTTTCTCAGGTTCAAAGCAAGTGGATAAGGCCTAAAGAGAATCTAATTCCAAACATTAATTGTTCCCTTCTACGTCTTGTTCTAATCTAAAAAAAATGATATTCTTAACATTCATATTGATTGAATTTGCTAAACAATCAGTAGAAAACAAGGGTTACTGAGTAGTTGTAGAGTTTGAATGAAAATGTAATCAAACAGAGAGAAAAGAAGTAACCTCGTGCAGAAGTGCATCGATCCACTTTGTTGAATGTCAGGAGTCAATCAATAAGAAGTCCTGAACCTAGGTTTTGTGGATGTCAACGCTCATTATGATGGGACTGGTGCGCTGTCAGTGATTTAAACCTGCGTTACTCAGTGGGGTTTTATTTATTGTAGGATTGCATTATGTACATACATTGGTGACCAGAAACTTGTAACCCCTTAACGCTTGGTATTGATCAAGGGCGCTAAGCTAAGTGACATGATACTTCAGATCACACAGAGCACCGAGTTTGGATGTTGAGAGTCAATCGGCAGCAATCAGCCTAAAAAAACCTATACAATCGCCAAGAATATCTGCACACACCCGTTTAACTGATCACTGTGATAACCCAAAGTCGATAAGTTCATAACTCTAGCTATCACCAATTGTACTTACTAATTTGCATGGCGCTTCGCTGCAGCAGTTGCAGTTAATAACCTAAAACCTGAGCTTTGTATTCAAAACGACACAGTTTTCAATATTGTTTCAACTTCGTAACTTAAATCTCTTGAATTCGTAACTACAAAATTTTATGACATCAAGATTTTAGTTTTTCATTTTTTCTTCCCGTCTGCTTCAAAGCTTACTCTTATTTACTGAATGGTATTCACCTTATTATTTTATATGTAGAAAAATGGTTAACTTTGTACTACGCTAAGTTGGTCATGATGTCATTTTCTATAAATTCAGGAATAAAATTATAATTTGGGCTTATTAAGGATGCTAGCAAGAAAAAGACGCTGGTCAGTGAGACCATCACCTAAAAAGATGGGACGCTGATAACTTCTCGTAACAGAAAACCAGAAAGTTGGGCATAAAACTTTAAAGTACAGTTCAACTTGTCCTCAGAAACGCTTCAGTTGCCTCACATCCAGCTTTAACACGTCGCTCCTCCAACTCTCCATGAAGTTGAGAAGGTTGTGTCGAACTTGAAACGATGCTAGGCAGCTGCACCAGACGGTTTGCCACCAGAGGTTTTAAAAGATGGAGGTAGGAAATTTCAGATTTGAATAACAGAAGTAGATGGTGTATGGGAATCGGTGGGAGTGCCATCAGACTGGTCTACTTCACTGATCATTGCAGGTTACAAGAGGGGGGAAAAGTCTTCCTGTGAAAATCATAGGGGAATAAGTATGACTAACATTGCATTTAAGATCCTAGGGCCTACAGCTCTATACGACATCTAACTGGAGCTCAAGAACAACAGCGAACTCGAGGAAACTAACCAGGTCTCAAATCTGGACTAGGATGCATCGACCAGAACTTCACACTTCGACAGGAACACGGGCATACTTTACCGTTGCCAGACGCCTGCAATATTTCATGACTTGAATGTGGAGTTTGACTCTGTCGACCGTAATTTGGTGTGGAAGTGTCCGACTGTCAAAGGAGTACCAGGCAAGCATATGTAAAGCTAAACAAGCTCTCTACTTAAACTCAAGTGGCCTTGTAAAGGTGTATTGATAGTTATGAGAACTGTAGAGAAATAATGGTGTCTGTTGTCACCGTGACTGCTTAACTTCGTTATAGATACATCAATCGACAAAATTTTAGGTACCTCTGATTTCACAGGGACTGGTCAATTCCCTGGGGGCATCTGGTCTACTTGTATTACACAGACTACGTTGTCTTGTTAAGTGAAGATGATAAATCAAAAGAGCAAAACCTTCTGAACGTCTTGAGCGGAAATCTGAGTATGTTCAGCCAGTGCTTAGCACTTATCAAATGTAAAAAGATGCCTCAAGACTGGTTTGCAGGTACTCACAAGATTAGAATAAGAATTGTTCAAATACGTGGACAACTTCACTTATTTGGGTAGTGATATCCATCGAAACAGGTTGGTAGCTGACAAAATCTCAGCTCGCATACAGGAGACCTGTTTGGCATTTGCCAACATGGGTCATCTGTGGCGCCCACTCATCATCATCAATATCAACATAGGACCAGGCATTAGTGCGTAACAGTCCGAGTTGCCACACTTCATACCAGTATATCAAGTAAAAAGGTAGTGAGGCGAAAGATGTAAGTGAGAAAATTCAGTCAAAAGAAATATAAAGTACGAAAAGTGAGAAAGTAAGAATGAGAAAATGGTGAGATTCGGTATAGTGTTAAAATGAGGATGATGTATGTATATATACATCTGCGAGACTGAAATAGGTTCTGAGCCATATCACCTACAGTCAGTCCCCAATCACTGGTTCCTCTTGTCCTGCGGACCCCAACCGTCTGGTCTCCATCGCTCCACATGACTCAAACCAACAGTCAAAGACTTCATACATTGGTGCCATGTTTTAGTCTGGCCACCTCGGGCCTTTTTCCAGCCTCAACCTACTTCGGCCAACATTGTGTGACGAGGCAATCGGTGACTAGGCGTACGTAGTACGTGTCCCAACCATCTCAATCGATGAAGGTTCATAACCTCGTCTACTGATTTACCTCTACTCCCCGAAACTCTACACCTAACTTCTACATTACTCACGTGGTGACACCACGGAGTACGGCATATACTATACTACGAAGGCAACGGTGGTCAAACACCTGAAGTCTTCTCATATCTTCCACCTTCAATGGCCATGTTTCACAGCCATACAGCAGAACAGAGAGGACTGTTGTGCAGTACACGCGACCCTTAGTAGACAACCGGATATCACGGCAGCGCCATAGGTGGCGAAAAACTGACAAAAGCCAATCGAGCCTTTTGTATCCGTGCAGAGATTTCATCAGCCACTGAGCCAGCCACCAGGACTGATCCTACTTCCCAGGTAAGTGAATTGGTCGACACACTCGATATCTACACTCTCTATTATTAGCTGTGGCACTGTTGGGTGGTGAGAAACGCATCCCAAACATCCTCAAATTCCCACTCAAAGTGTTCAGAAGACTGCATCTTGTCAGCGTCTTCACGTAAGAGGACTTTGTCATATCATCTGCATGTTCTAGGTTTAACGAAAATTCTCCACTGATTAGGTCAACGTCTGCATAATCAGGTGACGAGAGGGAGATCTCCATGAGAATATCTATGATAAAAGTGAATAGGAATGGAGACAGTGGGCATCCCTGATGGACAACACTCAACGGGCATAGCTCCCTGGACAACTCGCCATAGGCTCTAACATGCCCACAAGTGTTTGAGTAGAGAGCTTTCAATGAAGTGATGTACTTACTCGGCACGCCTTTCAGTGACAGACATTACCATAAGACTTCTCGATCAATGGAGTCGAATGCCGCCTTCAGATCGAGAAATACAGCTATTGTCGGGCGTCGGTATGCGTGCCTATGTTCCAGAACCTAGCGCAGTGTAAATATTTGGTCGATACACCCATGGTCGGGTCTAAAGCCTGCCTGCCCGCCTGCCTCTTTTTCTCGGGCTCGCTGTTCCTGAGCTCCACTCAGGCGTCGAAGAATTATAGAACCTAGGATCTTGGACACTATATCAGTCAGGCTGATTCCTCTGTGGTTATCACAAAAGGACTTCTCGCCTTTCTCGAAGACTGGGATAATCAGTGATTCACACCAGTGAGAGGGGATCGTATTTGATTCCCACCTACTAGCTAACACTTCCGTTAACCTGACTAAGAACACCTTATAACCATCCTTGCATACCTCAGCAGTTAGTCTGTCTGGTCCTGCCGCCCTTCCGCGTTTCAGGTTACCTACCGCTTTCTCAACTCCTTCTAGTGTTGGAGAGCCTATATCGATATTCCATTCAGGATCGGACTGGATAGCGAGCAACGCAATGGTGGCCGGAGGTCAGTTAAACTGTTCCCTGAAGTGTTCTGCTCATCGTTCCAGTCGTCCCCCCTGCAAGTGAATCGCAGATCCGTCCTTCTCCACTATAGCCTCACCAACTGTTGTTGATCTTTTCCCCCCAGTCTCCTTAATAGGTCTGAACAACTGTCTACCGTTAACGATCGCCGCTGCCTTTTCCATCTCTTTAGCCTTCGCTGCCCACCACCGTTCGTGATCGTTGCGTAGACTTTTTCTCAATCTACTTTTAAGTTGAGCTCGCTTTTCATTGTACTCAGAGCCTGCAGGCAGGGAGGCGTTCAAAGTGCATCCATTAGATCGGAAGAAGCTGCTGATATCCACCGGCTCTTTGAAGCCACTCTTTTGGAGTCGGCTACGGTCTTCAGCGCTGCTTTTACAGCAGGCTGGAGATGGCACCAAGCTTCTTCTGGGTGAGTGATAGTGTTTGTCCCGATAACTGCCCTGCCAACTTCTCACTGAACACGGCTTTGGTGTTTCCGTTGCCCAGCAGCACTCGTAATGGTTTTTTTGCCAGATCTTTCTTACGTCCATTGAGAGCAGGCATATACGCGATCGGACCAACACGTGGTCTCTCTATGCAAACATGTACTGAAGAAGGAGCGGCAATCTCCCAGCGATGACTAATAGCAATGTCGTCTATCTGTGTCCGTCGCTGAGTTGAGCTCGGTGGACACCACGTCAGACAGTGTCTTTCTTTATGTCTAAAATTGGTGTTGGCTAAAATAGGCGGTTATCTGAGCATAGTTGTAGAAGCGATCACTGTTATCTGTTCGTTCAGCTGAGATTCCGAAAGTGCCACCTAAGTGCCTTTCTGCCTCACTCAGTCTACCCACCTCTACCTGTGCATTGAAGTCACCTGAAACGACCACCACGTCCAAACGTTTAGCTTTCGAAAGGAGGGTAGACAGCTTACGGTAGAACTCGTTCTTCATTTCAACGGAACTACAGTCAGTGGGTGTGTAGGCAGCAGAGATTACAAAGAGACAACGGTGAGTCTCACCATTCCTTTTAGTTCTCACTCTGCCGTTCAGTCGGATGGCGCAGAGGCAACTATCAACTAAGATCCAGTCTAGTAGTTAGCTTCCTGCCCTAGTGTTCAGTGATATGCTTACACCTGCAAGACCACGAGAGCTAGCTATCGAATTTCCAGAAATTCGGAGGGTGAATTTTGCGATTTACCAGATCGGCCGGGAGATGTTGGGTGAATAACCACACTTGGGTCCTGTATGCGTGTCTCACAAACACAGTACACATCCACGGTCCGAGTTACTACAGTCTTTGCCAACGAAGCCTGCTGACCAATTTGACGGAGGGTGCGGACATTGAGGGCTCCAATATGTAATTTGGAGCATGGTTTGAGGAGATCAGGGATGCAGTTCTGTGGACTCAGATCGTTGTCGAAGGCTACAGATCTAGGAGAAATTGAAGATGATGTAGTATCGCTAGTTAAGAGACGTGAAGGAAGATTAGAAGGTACCTGAAAGAGGCTTGTTTGACCGCAGGCCCATCGGACATCTGCTTGAGGACTGTCACACTCAGCCTTTTGTGTGTGGCAATTCTGAACTTTTGTATTTTTGGGGCCGGATGGTCGGAAAGGAACGACAAATGAACCAACACCGTCGGCCCAGCAGGCCATGGGGTATGGTGGAGTGTGTTACTTTTGGGACCGATCCTTTCTAACCCTCTTCCACTGAGAAGGCAGCATCAGCATGGCACTGCTGGTCATCCAAGAGAAACACCTTATTGCTGTCACACCCCATCCAGCTAGCAGCAGTACGACTTCGCCCTCAGACCCCCACATCATAGTGTAGCAATTTACACCACAACGGTAACTGCTTTTCGTCTAACTACTTTCCAACAGACCTTTCTGGTATGGTAGGACATTGAGGTAACAAGTGTTTCACCAGGATAGCTCGTTGGGTCATTGTGATAAGCAAGCCCGACCACCACTTCAAGGTGGCAGCTATCGGTCGAGCGGCGCCCACTAGGGGGATATCCGACAATCTATCAAAGTACGAGTATATTGTGCTACAGTCCATTTTGCCATGTTATACGGCTTGTAAGACATAGCCGTTAAAAGCAAGTTTGAAATGATTGCACGTTCTTGATCACAGGTGTCTCCGTAGCAGCACGGCTCGCGAACGGTGGAATCACCATATGAACAATATTAAGGTCAGGCGAAGGGTACTAGGCAAAGAAAGCAAGTCGGCGAATGAGGTTGTGGATCTTCATTGACGTAGGTGGTCTGGAAATGTGTTTCACGTGATGAACCCCCGTCTTCCTTGACACGTAATATCAGATGAAGCTGGACTAAGATGGAAGAAGGCTTGGGGCTGTTAGATCAAGACGTGACAGACAGGCAAATCAATGTTAAACCTCCAACAAAGTGCGTCGGCTGCATTGTGAAACTGCACAATGGCATGCAAAGGGCAAAGGGATAGAAAAAGACTGGTATCAAAGTAAATAAAGGAGTATGGAAGGAGAGGGGATTTAAAAATGAAGGTTAGTTAGAATGCTCGAGCTTTAGAAGACGTCGGGAAAAGAATACTTCATCACGATTGAGACCGGTTTCCGTCCATATCACCAAGAATCCTCAACAACTGATACCTATCTTCGTGCGGAACCCAATCAGGTAATCTTCATCTCCCGACATAACTCAGGTCAGCAGCCAGAGACTTCATACATCGGTGCCATGTCTTATTCTCGTCACCCTGAACTCCCTTCCAATTCAATCCAACTTTCTCCAGCATTGCACGTCGAGGTAGGCGGTGGCTTGAACATGTGTTACGCATACCTAGCTATCTCAGTCGACAAAGGTTCCCAACTTCATCTAACAAGTTGCCTCCCTTGCATAGTATCCTTAGCATGATCTCAATATTGCTTACATAGTGATTTCCCTATGAGCGAGCAATACTGCAAAGACACGTGTGATTAAAAGCTTGTAACCATTTCATATCTTTTACTTTGAACGACCATGTCTTACAGCCGCATTACAGGATAAAATGGATTGCAGCCCAGACGTGACATGAGTCGATGAAGTCTATGTTTTTTTGGTCTCAGTTGTGTGGGGGAGATGTAGACTGTCTAGTTGGAGTCCCCGAGATGATAGGAATCAATAGTAAGAAATCCTTGATGATAGCTGGAAACCAGTCCACAGTGGTGCAGAAGTATTCGCTCTTTGACGTCTTCTGAAGTTCGAACATTTTAACGAACATGATTTCCAAACTCTATCTTCCCATACTTTTTTCGCTTGGTTCGAAACCCTTCTTGCCCTACCGAATTGTTCATCGCATGCTACTATGAAGTGTGGCAACTTGACCTGATGCATTTCTATACGAGTCTTTATGTTGATTCTATCCGTCTAACCGCAAGCTACGAGTATTTTTCGGTTGACCTTATAAGTTTGTGCGGGTTTATTCATAAAAATTTTCCGTATTTGCACGGCAATGTTCATTTTTCACTAAAACAATAATAATATTGTTCTCGCCTTGAACAAGATCATGAACATAACTAAAACTAGTGGTCAAAGCTAGAGAAAATGTTTCACAAACAAATAATAACAACGGTGCAAATTTATCTGCTCCTTATCCTGCACTGAATTTAAAACTATACTTCGATCATTTTTCTGCTTTCGACTCCACGGTCATTTCCTTTCCTTTGTGTGCTGTTATGAAGTATACATAAGTGACTTAATATGAATCTGCATAAGGCTTCAAGTTTATTCACTTGACTTCTTTATTCCTTGCTTAATCATGTCTCCTTTATCATCTTTTATATCGTTGTGTGCAGAACGGTTCTTTGCATTGTGACACTTTTTTTTGGATGGGTTTTACCCAGAAAAAACAGTTTAAAAAAGTTTAACATCACGATGTAACAACTGAACAATTACTTACTCTCACTCCCTGTAGCTACAAAATCTTCATTAGCTCCTCCAAATGTCGAATATAATCGAAAAGTATCTTGTTTGTGACAACAAAACGTTGTAGAATAGCACACGCCTCCAGATCCCACAAATGTAGTCCCTTTTTAATAAAAAAAGATATTTTTCAATTATTAGACAGAAGTTTTTGTTGTAATAAGCAGTTTATGATAAAATTACTTATTCAATGAGTAGTTCACTTTCCTTGAATTTGTCACTGCTAATCTCATTATAGTGTAGTGTATAGCGTCTGTACGATGCATCTCATCTACGCTTGATTGTCATGTCTCAATTCCATTTCAGGATTAAATATACCACCTACAACTTCTAGATACAGCTGAAAGCAGTGATACTGACAGCTTTCTGTGTGAAAGATAGTGAAAAGATTTTTAATAAAATCGTTCTTGGCAGATATGTCAAGCATGACTTACATAGGCTAAGGTGCTACTTATCAACTCGGCCTACATAACTCACTCATCATACACACAGACCTTCTTATTAATAATCATTCTAATGTTTCTTACTTTATTTTGTTGAATTCAATAACATTATGCCAATGTATCTCCACTTCCAATCAACATTTCCTGATAAACAAAACCAAAGTATGTTCTCCTGAAGGTGAACAACAGATAAATATCTCAAAAATAAAATTCATTCATCATATTGCGCTCTAATTGATCTTTTCGTTTAGTTAACATTTATAAGGGAAGAGATTTGCAGGAAAATACTACCACGAAACCAGTGTAATGAGTTGAAAAGGTAATTATTTACAATAAAATCTTACTTGATCATTAAAAATCATCAGTACGAAGTACAACATAAACAATAAAAACAAAATCAACGTAAAACCTCGCACATAAGTCCATTGGGTCAAATTGCCACACTTCACATTAGTACACAAAGAACATGTGGACAGAAAAGGAGTCAAATCAAAGTTGCATGAGAGAATAAACAATCCAAAGATAACGGTTAGTGAAAAAATCCATGCTTTAGATGTCAAGAAGCGAATACATCTGCGCCATTGTGACCGATTTTCAGCCATGTCATCAAGGGGCCTCAACCATTGATTCCTTTCGTCTCGAATAACCTAGCCAGGGAGTGTCACCACTGCCCCCCACGGCTCAGACACTTCATCGACTGGTGCTACGTCTCGGTCTGGTCACTTTGAACCCTCTCCTAACCTAATCCAACTTCAACTAGCATGGCACGTCAAGGTAGGTGGTGGCTTAGTGTGCGCAGTACATGTCCAAACCATCTCAGTCAACTAAGGTTCACGAACTCATCGATCAACTTCCCTTTCTTGCCTAGTACCTTTAGTCTGACTTCAACATTGCTCACGCGGTGATGAGATACAACATTGATGTTGACATCAAATACTTTAAATTGGAAAAATTCATGTTACATGTAGCATGCCATGGATGTTCAATATCTAAAAGAATTAAGGATGATAGTAATCGACTAATTAGTGTTATGCAAACATACATAATAAGGGATATCAAAGGATATGTCGCCGAGTTTCGCAACAGCGAAAAAAGTGGAAATGCAAAAGGTACAGTAAGGAACAAACAAAGTTTAGATAAGTAAGTATATGTTATGAAAGCATGAAGAATTTCAAGAAAGAGCGGATACATTTGTACTATTGCGACATATTGAGCAATATCATTAAGGATTTTTAAGATCCCGTGAACTCCAGTCAGGTAACCAACACTTCTTTTATAGTGTTTAGCTTCGTTGAACAATCATGTATATCAGGTCACACGTTTTAACCTATACAACTGAATTTTACTCTAACCGGTATTGGAAGAAGATTAAAAAGCTACAAAGTAAAACAGAAAAGTCTCATGATTGGATAGAATTTCTCCGTGGCGAACATGGACAATGGATCCTTACGGCAAAAAAGAGAGAATTAGCTACAAACTCATCTACAAATGAAAACATACATCAGCTCATGCTCAAACCAATCATATTAAGGGCATTAAAGGTGAGATATAAGTAAACGATACTATGAGAGACTTTCAAAAACAAAACACGGAAAGCCAATCTAACATTGGTAAAAATGTCACCTTTCATTACCTGTTTGTCAGCAACAGTGAATTTTAACATAAGAACAAAACTTGGGTGCTGTAGCAAAGTTTACAGTGAAACGGTATTATTTACCTAGATAACGTTTTGAACACAAATTAATTGTTGTGGCTAGCAGGGGAATCCAAGACCGGTGTTTTGTTCTATTTGGGACTCGTCAGCTACCAGCCACAATCACGTAAATTAACATAATAAATATCCAGGTAATTTCAAGGCATCCACATAAGGTATCATGTGCCAACAGAGGTCGAACCATTCGATCCAGTATAACAACGGAGAATTACAATATCAACAAATAGTAATAAACGGTACATATACTCATCGCATCTACCCCATGTTGGTAAAATATGTGCCGATGAATAGTAATGGAGCATCATTTTATTCATCAAAGATATTTATCCATTATGCAAGAAGTACAGAATCTTACAAATGTACAAGAATATACGGTCAAGATGATTGAAGTAAAATAAATTATGTTAGGGTAGCCAGTCAATTCACAAGAAGCTGAACATAAAGTAGTGAGTTTGGAAGAAATGTAAGAAGAAGTCTTTTGTGACAAATCAAAGGAGGAAAGACAAACTTCCATAAGCACATCCATGACAAAGTCAAATAAAGATGACAGCCCACCATAGACTCTAACATGATCACGGGTGTTTGATTATAAATCCTTCAAAAGAATGATGTACCTATCTCCCACTTGAACGTGGGAAACCGACACAACATGCCAGTTGATAGATTCAAATGTTGTCTTTAGGTCAAGAAATACGGCTAGTGTCAGTTGTTAGTAAGTGTACCTGTGTTCCAAGACCTGAGGAAGGGCGAACATCCGGTAGAAACACCCTCAACCATGTTCGAAACCCGTAGTTTTCTTTGGTTTTATGGTTTTCTACTGAGGTGTCTAACGGTAATCGAACCAGGTATCTTAGTGTTCGTCAGACTGATTCCCTTGTGGTTGTCGTTGTTTTGAAGACTAAAGCAGCAATGACTGAGAGAGGATTATATCCGATTCTCAGATGCTGGCTAGTACTTGAGTCAGTTTAACCAATAGTTCGCTGCCAGCATCCCTCAATACTTCCAGTGCTGGTCCATCGAGAACTGCTTCCCCTCCTCGTTTCAGGCTGCTTACAGCCTTCTCAGCCTCTGTATGAGTTGAATGCTCTTAGTTAATATTAAGCTCAGGATGCAGTTAAATAGCGGGTAACCAAAAAATAGTTGGTCATTTGGACTTTATAATGATATGGTGCTAATGACTCCATTCGTCTCCTGGGCAAGTGAATCACAGATCCATATTTCTCCGTTTTCGTCTCATTAACCATTGACCATGTTCCTCCAGTTCCATTAATTAGTCTAAGTAACTGTCTACTGCCACCTACATCCAGTGCCTTTTCTATATCTCTAGCCTACGGAGCCACTCATAGTTTACGGGCCTTGCGTAGACTGTTTCTTAGACCATATTTATTTACATCTGAGATGCTTCTTCAGGAATGCATCCATTACCAGGATGGCCTTATCCTATCTTTTTTGAAGGGTATATAGAATCTTCGAGGTTGCTTCAATAACAGATTGCGAAAGACACCAAGATCCTTCAGGATGAATAAAATTGTCATGTTCAGTTGTTTAACCATTTACTTTTGAAAGCAGTTTTTGTGCCGTCATAATCGAGTTGGGTTTATAAATTTCTTCCAGTTGTAGTCCATTTATGCGTGAATATAGACAGGATCCAAACAACACGTAAACATCGTGCAAGCATGCACCATAAAAGAAGCGACAATTCTCTACGAACCTTAGCTAACTGATAACAATATATGGTCTATCTGTATCAACTATGGAGTTGAGGTTGGTGGACGCCACGTCAGACAATGTTTTTTGATATCAGAGGGCTATGCTAAACAGAAATGGATGGTTGTCCGTGTGTGGTTGCATAAGGCGATAGCCATTATTCATTCTTTAGACCAGATTTCGGAAGAATCATTTCAGTATATTTCTGTTTGGTTTAGCTTACCTACCTTTGAACTGAACCTGTTTGCACTGACAACCGTATCCGAAGATTTTGCTTTCAGTAAGAAGTTAGACAGTTTCGGTGGGAATAATCTTCTACCTCATGCGAACTGAATGGGTAGGAGACTGAAAAGAGACAACTGCGAGTTTCACTATCCTTCCTAGCTATGAATGAATCATTCAGTCGAACAGCACACACATTCGACCATCAAATGGAGTAAAGCCGAGCAGTGTATTTTCTTACCTCAGAGCTTAAAGCTATTGGAACAAATGCAAGACCGCCACTCAACAAAAGCACAAACGATGAATTTCTCAGATTCACCGAATTTTTCAGGCGAGGTTAAGTGAATAAACAAACCTGGATGTGCATGTTTCACAATCATAGTACACATCCAGGGGGCGAGATACTCTAGTTGCTGTTGGCTACGCCTGTCAAATTCCACGAAACATGGAACTTTGAAAGTCTCGATGTTTAGTTTTGAAACTTGGTACCAAGTGAGCAGGGACGCTATTCCGTGATCTTGAATCATTATCATAAGTTCCAAAGTTGGAACAAATTAAGGGTGACGTCGGGATATTGATCGAGGGATATGCGGAAAGATAAGAAGGCAATGATATAGACGGCGATAATGAATGGAGGGAAATTGAGGGTTGATATGTAAGAGAGGCCGACGATTCCCAGCTACTCATAGCGTGGAAAGTTACTTCTTTTAGGCATGCATGAATCTGAATTGAGTTAGCAATATTGATGTAAAAGCAGAGCAAAACATACATCTGCTTGAGGCCGGTCACATACGACCGTTTTGGAAGTGTGACATTTAACTTTGATTGTTTGAAATCCCGGTTATAGAATCACATACTACTGGAACCGAAAGACTGCAGGGCAAGGGGAGGAATATGATACTTTGGTGCCCCACCCTTTATATCCTCTCTTCCCCATAGCAAAGGCAGGATCCCTATAGAACGCCCATCCTTGGGGAACACTTTACTGTCACACTCCATACAGCTGGCAGTACGATCCCGTCGTTGGGTTCCCACCATAACGCAAGCTGCTTACACTGTGATGATAACTGCTTTTTGTCTTGCAGCTATACAACAAATATTTCTAGGATTATAGCACCTCGAGGGAACAAGTGTTGCACAAGCATAGTTCGTGACATGGAAGCACGTCAAGGTAGGAGCTATTGGTTTGTCGAAAAGAAACTTGGATGTAAATTAGTGATTGTCATTAGTGTATATCACCAACGGTAATGACTGAAGACTGTTAATTAACTACTATTCTTTATAAAATATTAAGCATCAACAATACTTAGCACAAGAAAGAACAGCAGAGAAAACTTTAAGACTGTCAAACATACACAACTGAAGTACATTGGTTGCACTTCAATTCATAAATTGTCCAACTACGTTTGAACTATGTACAAACACAGATAGAAAACCTACTACACCTACGAAGATTTGGGTAGCAGACAGTATTATTAAGCTGAACACAATAAGTGTCGCTCATTGCCTGTTACTTATGACTGCTGAGTTACATTTTTCAGATTTATTTACAGAAATGTTAGGTATCGCTTTTCGAAATCACTCAAAATTGATTATAACGGTGAAGCGTAATCATTTTTTTTTTGCCAGATTGTATAAACTGCTGTCGAGATACTTTGAAGAGCTACTGTTTAGTCTTAAGTGTATTGGAATTCGGAATGGCTAAAACTATGAGTTAGTAAAGCGAATAAATATCTTTTTCTTTCACAGAATATTAGTCAACAAGGCTTACCATTTTATGTATTGTGAGAAGTGCTGTAGTTCCTGAGCGTGATATCATAATTGATTGAACAGGGTGAGTTTCTTTGAACAGAGTTCTATGGTCTAGTAAACCATAATTACTTCCATTTGTAGTCACGCCACCATTACTTGCACTTGTTGTCGTACTTGTAGTTGATGTAGAGAATCCAGTTGCCGGTGTGGAAGCTGAGACTGTAGTTAAATTAGATGCAGATCCCATAGTAACACCGGAAGTGGAAGTAGACGTGCTTACATTAGAAGCAACGCTAGTAGTAGAAACGGATGAACGACCTGTAGCTACATTGCTGTCTTGAGACGTAGAAACAGTCAACATTGTTGTACCACTGGAAACAGAATGAACTTGACGACTGTTTACACTGGCTAAAGCAGCAGCTGCAGCGGCAAGGGCTCGGACACCCGTAGGAGTGGTCGTAGTTGAACCAGAAACTCCGACTGGAGTCGCTGTATAGGAAGCTGACGTTCTATCTAAGGGAGCACCAAACAGAATGGTTACACTACTACCAGTAGTGCATAGGTTCGTTGCACCAGCTGATGACACAACGGTATACGGATTTGTACCATGCAAAGAACCAGCTGGGTGTAAGATAGGCTGCAAACCCAACTGAGCTTGTAAACCCTGAGTTGAAGGTGGTCCAAGACGAGTCAAACTAACCGGTAAAATAGGCATATCTAGTAGAATGCCAGCTGAAAAAAAATTGGCAAAATGTCCAACACATTAATAACAGTGAAACACAAATAATTAGGTAAAATTTATGAAGATTAAAATATCAGATGACCAACGAATCCATCTGCCTCACACTGAACTGAAAAATATGAAAACGACAACCTGATGTGCCATTTTCAATATTAGTCTCATGGGCTTCTAAAGAACAACAACAACAACAACACTAACAGCTATGCAACATTACTGACTATTCATTTGTGCAATCAGCTTCAGTGGTTGAGAATTCTTGGCGACATGGGTGAAAATCTATCACAATGGCTCAGATGTATTCACTCTTTGATGCTTTCTAAAGGTTGAGTATTTGCACTAACCTTTGCCTTAAAATTGTTTATTCTCTCATACAACTTTGATATCACTCTTAATCTACTCGCTTGTTTCTTGTATACTACTATGAAGAGTGGTAATTTGAACCAATGCACTTGTGTGTGAGGTTTACACGTTGACTCCGTCTGTCTGTCAGAAGACACGAAGTTACAAGTGTTGGATCACTGTTTCCTTTGTGGCCCAGACCTATGTGTGGTAGTGTCACTACGTGAGTAACGCAGAAGTCAAATGTAGAGTTTTAGGGGGAGAAAAAGGTCAGTTGATAAGGTCGAGAACCTTCATAAACTCACATGACTGAGACTTGTGTTACGCATGCCTAGTCACCCTCTGTTGACTGAAGTAGGTTCAGACTAGAGAAAAGTGGGGTGGGCAGACTAAAACATGGCATCACTGCATGAGGTCCTTGTATGTTGGCTTGAGTCATGTTGGGGGATGCAAACTAGTCGATTAGATTCCACGTGACAACAGAAACCAGTGGTTGGAAAATCTAGTTGATAAGAATCAGACTCGATGTCAATGACATAACTGTATCCATGCATTATCTTCATATGAATTATCATGCTGAATTTCAATTCTTTTTTATTCTTACTTGTTCTCTTTTCGACAGCTTTCTTCTTAATTTTTCGAAATTTTAGTGCATTCCCGCTTGATATGCTGATGAAGGATGGCAATTTGGACGGTTACGCAGCAATGTTAGGTCTTATGTTGACACTGTTTAGCTGCACTTGCCATTATCACTCACTGAAGTAAATGGTACAACGGTATTCGTAAGGCAATACAAGTTGGTGGAACCTTACATCGACTGACTTACTTCTCCTACCGAAAAATTCATGATTAGCTCGAGTTATTAAGTTAGTGATCCTGCTAGATACAGACAGTGCTGTAATATCTGTAACTTTCACATACCATCCACTTGGAAGATAGTCTAACAGCTGTAAATTCGGGTTGGACCGTAGTGTTTGCTGAATAGTAGGGAAAGCTGCAAACTAGACAAATGCAACTCAGTGACCTACTCAATCACTCACTCAGAATTAATATATGGCCAGGCATTATTGCACAATGGTCCAAGTTGCCACAACTCATATCAGCACAAGAAACAAAGTAGTGTAGTTGGCGTTGCTGATAAGAATGGATATAAGTAGTATATGTCGAGAGGGTGTGAGAAATCATAGGGAATTACCAGAAATGGGTAAGGATTCCGCCCAGAAAAACGCAAGAGACAAGGCAGGCGTATGAAGAGCAAATCAAGAAAGAAGCAGAAGAGGAAATGAAGCACATTTTGCAAATGACGGTTTTAGTGCAAGGTGTACCATATTTAACGACAACTGTCCCACCTGTTGACAATAAACATTCCTTCCTTCATACTTGTTTTCTTGCTTCTTTCAGTAGTAAGATGACAGATAAAAAAGGAGAGGAAAACGGTCAGAAGCAGTGGAAAGCAGTAAAAGAGGAAGGGAGAGTGAGAAAATGCTGAATTCAGTGTTGCGTTTAAGATGAAGATAATGCGTGGATACAGTTATGTCATTGACATCGAGTCTGATTCTTATCAACTAGATTTTCCAACCACTGGTTTCTGTTGTCACGTGGAATCTAATCGACTAGTTTGCATCCCCCAACATGACTCAAGCCAACATACAAGGACCTCATGCAGTGATGCCATGTTTTAGTCTGCCCACCCCACTTTTCTCTAGTCTGAACCTACTTCAGTCAACAGAGGGTGACTAGGCATGCGTAACACAAGTCTCAGTCATGTGAGTTTATGAAGGTTCTCGACCTTATCAACTGACCTTTTTCTCCCCCTAAAACTCTACATTTGACTTCTGCGTTACTCACGTAGTGACACTACCACACATAGGTCTGGGCCACAAAGGAAACAGCGATCCAACACTAGAAGCCTTACCAAGTCGTCTACCTTAAATGATCATGCTTCACAGCTATACAGCAGAACAGAGCGAACAACATTACAGTATACTCGACCTTAATCGATAATCGGATATCGCGGTGGCGCCACAGATAGGGGAAGTTGGTGAAGGTTAAGCTAACCTTTTGTATCCGTGCAGAGATTTCCTCGGCCACTGACCCACCAGCGTTCTGACTTCCCAAGAAAGTCAAGTGGTTAGAGCATTCAACCGCCCCACTCTCTATCATTGGACTTAGCACCGTTAAAGACCAGTCCTGGAGCAACAATTCATATTCGGGTGGTGAGAAACTCATCCCAAACATTCCTTAATTGCGACTCAAGGTGTCTAGAAGATTCTGCATCTTGTCAGTATCTTCACCCAGCAGAACTATGCCATCTGCGCATTCTAGATCTACGAAGAATTCCGGTGATCAGATCAGTTTCTGTAATGTCAGATAAGTGACCTGGTACACACTTACATACCTAGATGTGAGCTAGCTCTGAAAATATCCTAACAATCAGGTCAAAATGGGTGATGTTTGGAACCCGTAATTGAAAAAGCTGAAGTCTAGTAAGTAGACCATTGAGTTACAACTGGGGCGAAAAATCATAGTTGCAGCAAACAAGTAAGAACAGACATTTGTAATCCCCAAGTGAGTGAACTTGTTTTACTTACGTGGTAGTGTAGATGTTCCAGATGTATACGCAATACTAGTTGATCCCGGATATGTACCTGGTTGTTGGTACCACGCAGATAAGTTACCAGTTAATGATGATGCTGGACTTGCAGTTGTCATAGGATTTGATGACTGTAGTAAACGTTGTTGTTGTTGTTGAGCTAACCGAGCAACAGCTAATGCTGTGGCTACACCAGGATTGTCTGCACTACTGCTCGTGGTTGTATTATTATCACTACTGTCACAATCACCAGTTCTACCGTCACCTGTTCCACCAGTAGGATTGGTGTACCGCTGCTGGCTGAAGTAGAAATACTGACTGAAGCTGGAGCACCTGGTGCACCACCACCTGAACTGAGATAAGCCGCAAGAGCAGATGTAGTCGTTGTTGCTATGGTTGCACTTGATGTGTTTTCTTCACTAGGTGTTTGGGTATACAATGAACCGGACAAAGTGGAAATAGTCCCAGTTGATATAGATGTGGTGCTAGTTTCATTCGGTGAAGTAACTGTACTTAATGGTATGTCGACGGTATCAGTAGCAGCATTTGATGTAGATGCATTCGGACCTACTGGACCAAATCTGAATAATCGAATTCTATGAAGGCTATCTGCAATTAGTAACTGGTCAATCTGATTTTCAGAACGATTATTTACTGCATCATTAGATGAGCCATTCTGTTGTAATCCATTTAGTGGTGAATCTGGAGCACCAGGTGTAGATCGATCTGGAGGATTAACTTGTACAGATTCTGTACCATTGGGAAGAAGCATACTTGGTATTGGTGGGAGTATTGCGGCCATACTTTGCACGCGATAACCTTCAACTATGGTGAGTACACGACCCTGATCTTCTGTATCCTAATAACATGAATAAATAATCAAATTAATACCATCAAGGCTGTGTATCAGTTTTCAAAGGCGACAACTGAAATTGAGTGTATGAATAGTGAAGAAGAGGCTCATTAGGCTATGCCTATGAATTATACGTTAGAATATCATCCTACGATTTTGACGATCTACTTATCGTCAACAGGCTGAGTAGAATTTGCCAACTTGTGCACAGCATTCATGTCATTTTACTTCAAAGAGAATAAAAGGAATTAGGGTATACTCTAGTTTAACTTACCATCACATAGAAGCTGCCTTTAAGACCACCAAAAGCTAGTTTACGACTATCAGCAAAAAAGGATGCAGTTGAATACACATCTTCATCATTAACCTTTTGACTGCACAACTTTTGACCGCTGAATACGTCGAATACAAGCACAGAACTTTGTTCTTCTCCACAACATGCTGCCAGTCTATACAGAAAGGAATAATTCAATAGTCAGCGAACATTAACTTGAACACGCTGATCACTTAATTTTGATTTATGAAATACCTGAGACATTGACGAACGACTGTGAACTGGAAAAAATGATTTCGTAAGCAATAGGTATCAAATAATATAATGCCAGAGATTATGAGAAAAATAAATAAAGAGCTATTGCCATTGATACTGAACTATATCACTTAGTTTACAATCGCCAAATTCAGCCACCTTACCCGGCCCCCAATGAAGAAGTCTACAATCTTCCATACATTTAAAGCTGATTGGATTAATGGCTAAATATCAAGTCTGTATCTGGTCACTATTAGGTGCCACACGCAAGTATACCTCGTATATGTAAATTGAATAAGGTTAGAAACAGGTCTACTGAGAAAGATATCACTGAAATAAGAACACAAATATGCTACACTTGTTACCGTGTTTTCAGCTAAAGTAGTATTACCTTAAAGTAAACATAGTACATGAGTTGTCTGAGAAAAGTTTGTCAATTTGAAAGCAAAACTTAGAGACAACTAGAACTGGAACAGCATCTACAAACAGATAAACAAACATAGATCAATCATAAAGATGCAAAACTTTGAGCAACAACAGTAAACATGATTAGTCATTATGAAAGTTGTCATATCGACTGTTACACTGAATCCATTATTAGGCTATTATTGCAGATATCAATGGAAGGACGGCTCTTTTTACAATACATAGAAAAGTTACAGTGTGTGGGGGCACTACCCGGCAGCTCGAACAAGATTTGAGCCCAAACCTCATTTTCAGGAAGTCATATCAAATTAGAATGATCAACAGACTGCACTGTTTCACACTATCGAACGCTGATATTTAGTGGAGAACACTTCAGAGCTTGGTGCTAAAACAATTTATTTTGATAAAATTACGATACATGTTACCATCTACGTTTTACTTGGCAGTTGTACAATCATCATCTCCATTAACAGCATGACAATGCACTTGAATTCAGATTGAATTTTGTTTAGTAGGAATACTATTAACAGTGAACAGAAAATACACTTGTTCAACTTCAAGGTGTCGATGGGGAGGACTGATTTTAAAGCACTCACCATCATGATATATAGGGAATTGCCAGAAATTAGGAATGCGGATCTATGAAGTTAAACAGTGATTGAAAGGTAACATGCTCATCACAAGACCTGTTGATCCTCTGTAGGGTTGTAAGTCAGAACTATCGAGTAGTATCAAACAGGAATGGGACAACTTGTTTTGAGTTTTTTGGTTTCCAGTGGTTTATTAGTGCATGTTTATGTATGAGAAAAGCTGCTTTGAAAACGGCAGGTGATTTCCAGATAGAATTCGATAGTTAAATACTTCTTGAAATAGGTCAATAGTATTAAAACCAGATTGTTAACTCGTATAAGCAAGTTATACAGAGAAAATAAATCAGAATAGTGAATAGATATAATTATCACTTGAGTTTACTTTTTAGAATCCGGTGACCAACATAAACAGCCTATATACGCTGGAGTAGTTAACACTCGAAAAAATGATACTGCATGTCGTAAAAGATCCACACGCCAAACATCAACGTTCGCCTCTTTACCACCAGTTGCTAGATAGTTACCGTCTGGGGAAAACTGACAAAACCACAAATCAGAGTCCCTTTGATGATCCAAGGTTTGAATACAGAAGGCGGGGAAATCTTGCCTAAATTGAGGATAAATAAAATAAAGGAGGTAATGAAAGCATAGTCAAACCACAACAAAAGACGAGACTGCATTAATTAACAGAGCAGCTAAATACAAACTTCGCTCACTTCAGCTTCAAAACATTCTTGTCATTGTAGTCGCTGAAAATCTAGTTATTCTTTTCAGTTATACCAGGAACAGCTTATGACTAACACGCCCAGGTTGTGACTCGGTGTTTTAGATACTTGACTTTTAACTATTGTGTCACGAGTTTGAACCCAATCCACTCACAAATTCTTCTTGGTCAGTCATGTGGTAGTAATGTTGTTTACACATTGGTGTGGTTCATAGCCAGGTACACGAATATACACACGCTGAACTGCATTGTATGACTGCAAGTTATACAGTTTATTATCAAAATCTTGGACATGGGTTTAAAGCTATTCCCTTTATATCCGTTTGAGTTGTTATGGTAGGCTCTAACATAACAGCTGCAGACGCCTTGGTTTAGTTGATGGGCTTTAGCCTTTTAGCATTATTCGCACGTAAGTAGTTTCCAATTTAATGTTACTTTTATCAGTGGTTTACCTGTAAGATAACGCAGGTCAATCTGAATTCCATAGGTTTTAAGATGACGCTAGTCAGATCTTCAAGTCTAACGAAGAGTAGCTGCTTCCACGGGAACTAAAGGTCTGGGGCAAGTTACAACTAAAGCATCAAGGCGACCAAGGACAAGTAGATCAATGAAAACATATGTGAGGATTAACGATGCTATCCGGGGTTTAGACCCTGAATTAGGTGGAGTTAAATTCAAACCAGTATTCGAGTGACTGCTACAAAATAAGTAGGAATGAAACAATTCTTCATTCATAGTAAGTACGATCGACCGAATAGTAGACAGAAGAAAGAGTATGTGAGATGATAAGAACAAATCATTTCTGAAGACAAGTGCTAAAGATGAGTCGATGTGTAACACTAGCGATACATACTACTACATGAGTAAGGTAGATTTAGAAGAAAAAGTTGTAAAGAGCATGGGCACAAATTTTCCGTGAGCTTTCCTGATGCACAACCCTATAGCTTATAGATAATTGCATAAAGTCCTGTAAATCCTCCTTCTGCATACTTGATTATCACTGCTGTTTGAACAACATTCCACTGACTGAACCTACTCCGCTTGACCCAATATTACATTATATGCTTTTATGGCAGAAACTATCTAGTAGATAGATACCAACGAGTGTCTTACAACAGATACTGTTGACTTGCGTATTGTTCAAGATCAACTGATTTTTTCCCATTCACTTAGAAACTGTCTCTATATCATTAATATTAATACTAGAAAATAAACATGGTACAGCAAGGACACCAAGAAATGAGCCACACAAAATAATACAACATCATGAAAACAAAGCGATGGGAAGTGCATAAGTAAGAAAGAAAAACACAATAAGAATAGAATGATTAGAGGGGCACTCCAGTAAGATACATTCAAAACAGAACATTCGTTACTTCTCAGCAGCCAAAGATAGGGGAAGCAACAGCATGACCGCTACTGGTTTCGATTATGAGCCGTTTCTGATAACGTCTCAAGTCACTGAGTTGCATGATCACTCGGACCTCACCCAAGGAGTCGTGATGCACCAACAGATGCTAACCGCATACAACTATCCTTCATCCCACGGAGCCATGTCACTCACTAACCACTCCACCGCTTTTTGCATCCAGTTCCAGGGCTGGCAAACAATGAACGGTGTAGAAGCTGTTGGGAGGACATGCGTCATACATGTCCAAGTCACCGAAGCCAATGTTTCCAGATGACTTCACCTATTGAATCACGATCACCATCATGCCCAAATATACGTTGTCGTACCTCAGAATTACCTACTTGGTGTTGCCACTGGATACGAGTAATCAACCCTACGGGGACAACACACACGGAGTCGTCGCACATCCTCGGCTCGGAGAGGCCATGTTTCACAGACGTAGAGAACTGCTCGCACCGAAGTGCTGTAAACCCAACGTTTTACGGTCAGGCGAACGCTGCGAAGGCATCAAAGGTGGTTCAGACTGGGGTATGTCACTCTGATTTTAGATGTGCGGTTAGGAATTTCCATAACCAACTAATAGGTTGATGAGACTAATAAGTGGGAGAGTCAGTCAATGAACGTGGTAAACTTATTTTTTCACCATAGTTGATATCGATGTCTGTTTAAATTTATCTCATTACAATTTTGAATGTGCTAAGTGAGGAAATAAAACCGAATACACTCATACAAGGACAAAGTTAAAAAAAGAAACAAAATTAAGAGTGAGTATAAAATGATCAGTTGAAACCTCTTCTGTCACTAGAGACATTGTGGAGAGTTATCTGTACTGTAGCTCAGTGATCTGAAAAGTCAATTATCATCAATGGATTCAAGGCTCTATAGCGGTCCGGTGTATTTACTTCAATAAACAACCACAGGAGCGGAGATGGTCTCTTTAGTAAATGCTTTCGTCATGATTGCCGATAAGCGAAGGGCATGGGTTTTATATAATTATTGTCTACTGTACAAAAATTTCGAAAAACTGATAATAATTATGTCTTGGCAGTGTCCTGGAGTTTTACTCTTTTTTAAATAGCTCAAAGGCAATAGTATTTAGGCTTGAAAAAGTCATTCATATAGCTAGTATACAGCATAAGTAAACTAGAAATACTTACATGCCACAAGAATGACGTTGTAATAATGATATATTATGTATATCTGTTTGAACACCCATTGGAGGATTATGAAATATGCATGAAGCCAACTGAGCGCGAACAGATTCATTGATTAACTCTTCTAGTCTCCCCGGTGGCAACATTGTCTGTGCTGGTATAAAAGCTTGTATTCGATTGATTAACTGTAGACGACTGCCAGCATCTACTCCAGCCCAACCACCTGCTTGTGCTTGTAGTTCAACAGCAGTTCGGCACATCAGGCAACTAAAAATTCAAAACGGTATCAACTAAGTGTACATGAAAAGGTAATAATCAGGAAATAGGGTAAGCTAGTAATATTTTTTTAGTGGGTCGAGTGATAACCTATAAAATATGAAAAATACGAAAACTGTGAAGTCATTGTAATGAGATATGTAAGGAAAAAGCCCGGTGCAAACGATATTTCCGAAAGCAAGATACCAGTTTCAGTAAAGCCTATGTTATGGAGTGCTAAATCTTGCCGAGAAACCAAGAGCCAAATATGCTTGCTTGACTACTAAAAATGAAATGTGATATTGGACTACTTATTCTGAGGCGTAGAAGAGCTTGAAATCTGTGAGTTTATGAGTGGAAAAATCTCTAAGAAAGACTGAACTGTTCCACAAGGAACAGATATCTGTAGCGGGTTAACAATTAGTGAACAAACAAACAAAGTAAGTGTATGAACGCACGGGATTGAGAAGGGAGTGAAATTATAGTTCTTTATAACACCACACGTGATGAGTAGCATCGTGATAGGTAAAGTCACACGTTCATATTTTTAGTACACCTCATACCAAACTTGTGAATATTTGGATACTACCTGAAGCTCACAGGTTTGATATGTGTTTTTGTTCTAGAGACTGAGTAACACTATGTATTATAACTCATGCTACCGTCTAATTATTCAGACTAAATTACACTGAGTAGGGTCAAGATCTTTGCCCAATAGTTGGTAGTGGCAAGCTTCGACAAGTTTCAGTAGACAATCAACGTATAAGGCAAACGTTTGAAGGAAAATGTTTTTCAAGAGGATCTTGAAAGCCTTCGGCAGTAACAGAACAAGAAGATGAAGAGTAAACAACTTTGTTTACTGTTTCAAGTCACTTTAAAATTAGACAGTGTTGTTGAAGTGGACCACTTCTTTTTAACGTTTTTAGAGACAATTCTGAATGAAGTTTTTAGAGTGTTCATCAAATAAAGTAACATTATATAATCAATAATGAAGTTCCATAGTGTTTATTCATGTGCGTTGACAAATGCACACTAAGAAATCAGTTCATCTTATAACTACACAGGTTTATCTCATTATGAATAATTTATCACATGATTAATGGTCATATCAATATGATTAGAACTACGTTCTCAAGTTTGCATATAAACAATATTATTCTTCAGATATAGATCGACTAGGCTGAGTGGATTGCCATAACTGAATGCTTGCTTACACAAAACAACAGAATGTTAACAAGACTAGCTTCCTTCCCATCTTTGTAAAAAGAATACTAGAAAATATTACTTTATTTTCGGGTAGTTTTTGAGGTCAAAAACATTTATCCATAACAAGAAATAAGTATAAAGTATATCCCTGACTGCATCAAACGTCCTGATCTGGAAAGCTAGATGAGATTACCAAACTTCATACAATAATTCTCTTTAATTTTAGGATATACCACGACATTTTGTCAAGGGGTAATGCAAACGTTTCAAGACGGTAATCATTTTACGTTTCAGCTCAATTCGAAATACACTTAATTTCAAGGTCTCTACAAGTGGAAGTATTATCCGCTAAAATTGGTCTATCATCATGAAGTTAGAAGTACGTTCTTTTTAAAAAATAATGAACAATAGTATAGTAGGAAAAAAATATTCGCATCACCTAGCCAGTGTATGTACTCGTTCTGTATTTCGCTGCATTGGTGTAATACGATTGCGCAAAAGAGTAACAGCAGGCATCACTTCATTAGCTTCCAAGTGCTCTAGGAATTGTTGTTCCAATATCAGAAACCGAACTTCTTCAATGCTATTCACGTCTCCTATCAAAGGTGCAAGCTTGTCTATAGCAGCTTCAGCCTAGGGAAAGAAACAAGGGGGAAGCAAACGACAAGAATAGTGAAACTGAAAGATTGATTCCCATCATAAAATCGTAATAAAAAACAAACATTTCAGTGGATACTTATTAACTTATGAGGTAGAGATTAAGTTTAGTTTGTTGCGGTAAACATTTGACTTTTCAGTCAGAACCGAATGGAAACTGGTGAGATGAATGTATAGAAAAAAGAAGCAACTTTCTGTGGTGTAGGTAGCCTGAAATTGTTAACCGCCCTCATACCTCAGTCAGCATCCAGATCCCCGACAAATCTCAAAGCATTTTAAACTTTCTTCATATTTCGGTGTTAAAAAATTTAAGTCATTAATAAATTCTTGGTAATGATTCAGGATAAAGAAATAGCGTCCCACGTTCCAGACACTATATATCAAGACTTGCAGAGTTCTTATGTTTCATCGAATTGGACGTGTCGCTAGCCGTTACTCTGATATGTTGGGCAATACACGTGCATTATGTTCGCTACAACAGGATACAGAACCCAAGTGTGGCTATTCATCTGACTTCAATCGCAAGTGAGACGTGTGAAAAATTCACCTTGTAAATATACAGCGACTCCCGAACTAATTCACAGTCCTGGAAGTTTATGTACGGCTCTAAGTTCTAGGGCAGAAAGCGGTCCACTTGATTAGATCCCACCTGCAAGTTGAAAATAAGCTGTTTGATTGAATAGTGTAAAACCAAAGAGGGTAGCGGCACTCGTTGTAGTCATTTTGTAAACGTTTCTTACACATCTACTGAATGTAGTTACGACAGAATGAATAAGTTCCGATGAAAATTATCCTGTATCTTACAGAAAGCCAAACACTTAGATGTGGAGTTCAAAAAAGACGGATTTAAGGCAAGGTGTATAACTGTCACTTCAACAATCCAGTCAGCACATGAAGAGTGGAAGCATCAAGATGGAATACAAAGAAATGTCCTATGTTGATAATGATGATGACAAAGAAATGTCGAGGAAAGTAATAACAAACAATGGAAAGTCAAAGGAAGATAGCAGCTGAGCACAACGAAATTCTGACGACTAGCCTTAGGATAACTTGCGTGTGCATTAGCCCCACTGATATTAATTTTGAGCCAATTCACAGGCTCCAATCAGTGACGCTGAGTACTACGTGGTCAAAAACTATGAACCTAAAATTTTCCTGTATAGATAAGCCAACGGCCAAAGACTTCATGGACGAATGACTCGTTCATCCGGATGCCTTTAAACTTTTCTCGATTTCAGCATACTTCCATTAACATTGTGATGTAGAGAAGACGGTGATTAGGGCTCCGTAGCACGTATGCCAACTACCTGAGTTGATGAAAGTTTATAACCCCATTCGTTGACTCACTCCTCTGCCCAAATCTCTACACCTGGCCTCTATGTTATTAATGTGGTGGTTTCGTGGCATGCTCACTACTCTGAAAATAATGGAGGTAAAATACCTAAAACCTTTGCATTTACTCCAATCATATGTAGACTGACGAAAAGTGTACACAATGACCCTGAATGGTAAGTAGTGAAGACCAATGCGAGGGAAAGATAGTGGAGACAGATAACATTATGCAACCGACTATTTAGAAAGCAAGAAAGTCAATGGTTAGTGAGACAATAATAGAGATGAATAGGTATGTGATTGACTTGTAGGGGATATAACTAGAGCGATAGGAGAAACAGTCCAACTGACCTCCAGCTAGTTTTGGAGTGCCTGTAATCTAATCTGGTTCAATATGGAACGCTGAGGTAGGCCCTCTAACTCTTGTAGAAGTTGAGAAGGCATTAAGTAACCTGAAGGGCAGCAGCTTTCGGTGGGTTAGATGGTTTGAAAAAAGATGGTTGGGTGTTAACAGTTAGATCAAACAACTTCACTTCCTTTTCCCGAACGAGACATAAGCACATTTGAGAGGTGAAAAACTCATTCGAAACCCTCAGAGACTGTCACTCACAGTATTTTCAAAACTGAATCCAACTCGTGTCTTCACTTAACAGAACTATGTAATCTGCAAACCGAAGATCTAGTGAAGGGGGAGGGGTGATGGTTTGGTCGGTACACTTATTACCAGGTAAGACAACTGGAAAGTAGTTGGAGGCCGCTTGAACTGTTCATTGATGTGTTTTGCTCATGGTTCCAGTCGTCTCTCATGCTGAGGAACCACATACCCACCAATCTCTATTACGGTCTCACTAACCATTGACTTTCTTGCTCCAGTTTCCTTGATAACTCTAAATAGTCGGTTGCATAATGTTATCTGTCTCTGCTATCTATCCTTCGCATTGATCTTCACTACTTATGATAGGTCAGGGTCATTGTGCACACTTTTCGTCAGTCTACATATGAGTGGGGTAAATGGAACGTTTTAGGTGTTCTTGCCCGACCAATAGCTGCTATCTTGGCATATCAGTCAGGCTTGCGGATCACAATGACCCAACGAGCTACAATGGCTGAAACCCCCATTCACTTGGGGTCCTGCCACGCTAAAAAGGTCTGTCAGATAGAGGTAAGACGAAAGGCAGTTACCGTTACAGTGGAAGTTACATTACGATGAGTCGTACTGTTGGTTGGATGGGATGCGACATCAGAAAAATGTTTCTCATCAATGAGCAGTAGTGACTTGTTGATGTTGCCTTCCCTTTGGGGAGTGTAAGTAAGAACACGTTGGTCCCCAAAATAGCACACTCCTCACTGCTTTACGGTCTTTCCGTGCCGGTGGTATGGGTTCTCGCCATACGGTGTTATAACAACCAAACTTCAAACAGCAACCCACAAAAGGCTTCGAGCAGATATCTCATGGGCTCTGTGGTCACACAAACCTTTTTCTTCTTAAGGTACCTTAAGAAGAAATAGCCTCCTACGGTGTGGGAAGCCGGGAAGTGTCAACTGCCCGCACGCTTCCAGTAGTACACAAGATCCCATCAAACATGAACTATCCTCCTGAACTCTGTCACCTCCTTCACTTTTATTTCATGATACTAATATTAAGCCTCTTATGCCTCACCCAACCTCTCACTCTGCAATCAGTGTCAATGATCAAAGCTAGCGAAAGCTCATTCCTAGTCTCCCGAGACCCTGCCATCGATTTCATGCCAAATCGGGGAGCAAGTACCGCTCGTCAAAACTCTGAAATCTGGAGCCATGGATATATGCTGTGTCTCTAACACATGTATGGTTATTAAATTGATTTCACCTGACCATAGTAGTGAATCTCCAACACTGACCTTAAGAGTATCCGCAGACACAGTGGCTAGCTCTCGCGGACTCGCTGGTGCAGGGATAGCACTGAGCTGTATGGCAAAAAATGCAGTCCTCAACTGAATATCAGTCAACGGCCATTTATGTGCTATTCGACTGTTAGACCTAGGAAGGATCGTGAGATCAACTGATACCTATTTGTAATCTCTCCCTACGTACCCACAAGCTACAATTCGAATGATGCAAAGTATGAATTACATCAAAAGCTGTCAGTTTTGCTACAGAAAGCAAAACGTTCAGATGTAGTTATAATGGCACGTGACTTTAGTGCTCAAGTAGGGAAGCTGAGACAACCGGAGAGGCACCTGGGTGATATTTACGGAGCCGCAGACGAACGAACAGCGGTGATCATATGTTGCAATTTTGTTCCGATAACCACCTGTTTTTGACCAGTAGTAACTTTAAGTATGAGGAGGGACATTGTCTCACATAGCGTTCACCGCCTTTAAACGAACGATGGACATAGATAGACATAGTGCTATAAGGGTCAATGAAGGATTGCTGCTCTTTCCGGGGTACCAGTTTTAAATCCGATCACGCGCTAAAACGCGGTCATGTATGTCTGCGCGCTACTAGTAGCAGGAAACAGGAGGCGGTGAGGTCTATCTATGCTCTGTTAGTAGACAAAGACGCCAAGTAGGCATTTAGAGAAGAGGTAGCTAAGCATTTACCTGAATATGACAGTAATGCTGATCATGAGGAAACCAGGCGTGCTGTAGAAACAGCAGTAAAGATAGGTGCTAACGTACATTCGAAGGTTAGCAAGTCATTGGATTTCCGCGACGTCATTCAAACTTATTGATGCCAGAAGACTGGTTCCAGCTGGCTTTGGCCACGACGAAGAGCCAGGGTAACTCAAACGTATGTTGACCAAGAATCATCACAATCATTGGGGGTAGGGATGAGTGGAAATAGCATCACCGTTGAGTAATGCACGAAAACCATTTGGGTTTTTTAAGGGTACCGACAAAAAGACAATGGTGACTGAAACCATTTCCAAAAAGAATAAAACGCTGACAACCTCCCAAGACAGGCGGCTAGAACGTTGGGCAGAACACTGAAGCACAGTTCAACTGGCCTCCCAGCAATGCTTCAGTTTCCGAACATGCAGTCTGAACCTGCATGAGAAGCGGGTGTCGACTCTCCAACTCTTCGAAGGACCTGACAAGGCTGCATCGGACCTGAAACGATGCGAAGCAACAGAACCTGTCAGTTTTCCATCCGACGTTCCCAAGGATGGAGGTAGGAAATTTCTCCCTGAAGTGATGGAGATACTAGGTAGTTTATGGGATTCAGAAGTAGTGCTACAGGCTGGTCTACTTCACTGATCATTCCAGTCTACAGGGAGGAGAAATCTTGTGAAAACCATAAGGGAATTAGTTTGACTAATATTTTTTCCGAGATTTTAGGATCCATTAGTAGCCGACGCTTAATTGGAGCTCGAGAACAGCAAACTCGAAAAACCGGGCAGGTGTCAGAACTGGATGAGGGTGCATCGCCCTCCGACAGGCTCCGGAACACAGGTATACTTACCGGTGGCCAGTAGTTGCAATATCTTGACCTGAAGGCGATACTTGACTCTGTCGACCGTGAGGTGTTGTGGCAGTGCTTAACTGTGACGGGAGTACCAAGCAAGCATGTAGTGCTTATCAAAGCTCTCTACTCTAACTCACGCAGTCGTGTCACGGCTTATAAAGAGTTGTCATCAGGGTGAGGAAGTTATACGACAGGATTTCAAAAATTGAGTAGTGGTAAAATATAGATGCATTTACGTCTCTAACCATCAGTTCCGGATAACTTGTGTCAACTAAGAAATTTGCACTTTCCTATGTAACTCAGATCAGTCGTCACAAACTTCATTAATTGGTGCTGTTTTTACGTATTCCTACACCCAGATTACTTTGAATGTAACCCCACTCCAGGAGCTACTGCGTGCAACATCCCAAATAAATCAGTAAATGAATTTTCATAAGCTTAGCATGTGATCCACCTTCGTTACCTAATACTTGAAACAGGCCTTATGTTGTTTATATCTTGCCATTAAAACTTTACAATCAACCTTAGCACAGGTGTCACACCAATTTTACCGAATACAAGTAGCCTGAAGCCATCAAAATCTAGCATTTCTAATCAAGATATTTCACACCCACTTAGTTGGGTACATTGCACTAGATGTTTGGATCAACCCAGCAACGAGCCACAGCGCGGTTACCTCAGTTAATATCAACATGAGGTATAGCATTAATATGTAACGGTTGCCAAACCATAAACAACACAAAGGTAGAAGGCACCAAGATGAAAGATGGACAAGTGAGGAAGTATTCAAAAGTGCGACAATTTGCAACTGGGTAGTAAGGACCGCTCTAACGCTATCTTCAGGAGTAAGTACTGTAACTCAAACCAGTAAATGTTAATGAATTAAGCCATAAGCACATTTGTTGTATGAAGGCTCATTATACTGGCCAGTTGCTCAGGTCCAAGATGGAATCGACTGTTAGATAGAGGTATAGTGCTGGACGTAGGTACGTGTGGCTGCATTTTAGAGCCTGACTCAGGGTGAACATCTGGTCAATACGCTCATGACCAGTTGTGAGACATGTCTGGTTTTCTTAGGTTTGCTGTTTCCGAGTTTCATTGAGGCTAGAATCACAGTTGCTACGTCCATCAAACTGATTCCCTTGTGGTTATCCTGTGAGGAATTCGCTTTCTTGAGGACTGGAACAATCAGTGATTGAGGTCAGTCAGAAGGGATCACATCTGGTATTCACACCATAGCTAACACTTGTTACGCATACCCAGTCAACATCTGCATCGTCGCACAATGCTAGTTGAAATTCAGGCTGGAAAAAAGTTAGGGGTGACCACGCTAAAACATGGCATTAGTGCATGAAGTCCTTAAAGGGTTGTAGAGCCGAGTAAGGAAACGTGAACCTTCCGATTGAGGCTCGCGTAACACCAGAGACGCGGGTCGGAGACTCGTTGGTATGGCTCAGAATCGATCGCAGTAGCATATATGTCCGCGGATTATCTTCATCTTCAATGTCATATGAATTTCACTGCTCTCTCATTCCTCCACGCTCCCTTTTTGAGGAATTTCTACCATTTTTGATTGCTTTATTCTTGATTTCTCTAACTTAGTGAGTTCTCACCTGATGTGCTGATGACGTTTGGCAACTCGGACCGCTACGAAGTAATGTTAGATTCTATGTTGATAATGTCTACCTCAGTTACGATGACCAATACCGCCGGTATTAACCCATCTGCTCTTTCTAGCTTTAGGTTACAGCCCGATAACCTCGACAAGAAATGGAGGTCGGATCTCAATGTTCCACTCAGGACTCGACTGAACAGCAGACAACAGAAATGCAGATGAATATAGTTTGAAATATTTCTTGAATTTTAACCTGTCGTTCCAGTCATCTATCCTAAAAGTAAATCGCATACTTATCCTTCTCTGTTAGTCTCAATAAGTATTGACTTCTACACCCAAGTTTTCTGGAGGTCTAAATAACCGTTTACTGTTACTAATAACCACAGCATTCTCCACGTCTTTAGCCTTCGCGACCTACTACTGCTCGTGGTCACTGCGTAGACTTTTCGTCAGACTACATATCAGTTGCTTCCACTCATTATTGTGTTCACAGCATATTCGGGTCCCATTTGAGTTTCTCAGCGATACAGACTAACTTTATAACCTAGGGTTCGTGAGTTTTCACTAGTAAATATTTAGTGATGATTCAAAACCATGAATGATGCAACAATACATGCTTTACCTCATGAGAACGGGACGTACAATTGGAAATTGAAGATGTAATATGTTATTAGTAGAAAGAATACAAATTAACTGGGTTAAGGCCGTACTTGAAAAGAAAACTTTGACAGCGTTGCTCAGATTTTTGAGCGGAAGGGATATATCGTTTATATAAAATACTTTTAGATTCAGGAGAAAATTAGCATTTCTTGCAATTGATCAGCTTGCTTAATTCCAGAAATTGATGAAGGGAAAACTGCATTTTTTTAAAATAGGAGGGGGGGGGGGTTACATGAACAGTAAAAACAGGCATGTAATCGGATAAATTAGAACTAATAAAAGAGAATGTATCAGGACAATCGTAGTCAATTTCACTCATCTTTTGAAATCTGTGATCACTGACGTTCGTAACATGTTAGATATCAGTTATCATAGACCTTGGATGATATCTCTTAAAACCTACGATGATTATTCACAAAAAGTCCGAATCTTATGTCCTAGATGCCGTGCCAATTTCATTGTGGTTCACATCATATTTTGTCTCACTTGCCCTGTTACTTTGTTGATTTCCTCAACTCGTCTACGGCGGCTAGCGCTGCCGTGAGATTTTCTAATTTGTTGGACAGCATTTTTCTGATTGCGACTCAACGGGAAATGATAGCTGTGCAGCCTGTGAAGGAGGTAATACAAATACGGAAGCTTCAGTCAAAACTAGCATTTCTTCAGATGGCCGCATGCTTATATGATGTAGCCATTTATTTCAGTTGTTGCGTTAGCTAAATAGAACCACTGAAATTACTTACTGTAAAACCATCTGGTGGGACAACAGTCTATAAGTTCGAATATAAACAAAATCACTTCGACTCGTACACCAATAACCTTAAGAATGTTTGCGAAACTGAGGACTTGCTCATAAGAAGTACAATCATTCTTTGATCTGAAATCAGTTTCAGCACAGACAAGTATTAGAACTGACAACCAGACCTAAGGTTCGGTGAACCCTTCTTTATGACGTCCAAGATTTGTCCTGGTCGATCAACTAGACTGTAATGCAGTTAAAAAACATTCATAAAGACTCGTAACCAATAACTAAATTTCAAACTGAGACCAAGGATTACCCTATAATAGTTATAACTACAATGCCTCACATAATCATATCAAGTTAAAAAGAAACACGATGAAAAACTGAAGTGGGAATGGAATAGACGAATATAGGTAAAGAAGAAGGGGTTAAACCCAGTAAAATAATGTAGCCCATTGGCAACAATGAAGACAAGACATGTTATATCCGAGTCACTGAAGGCATTACCTTCAATCAACAGCTAAAATTTCTAACCTATTAATGATGTATAATTCTTCTTTCCAGTAGTGTTCCCCCATTTGCAAGGTGGGCAAATCGGCGTTTGCTCACAGCTATCTGATAGCAGAGGTATGCCAGGACATATTTCTTATATGGTACTCTTCAGCAATCACGACGAAAATTACGAAAGCAATCCTTAAACATGAGACTGCATATGTGGAAAAGACAAACCGAATACAAAGTCAGGTCAGGCTTTAGTATGATTTCTCTTCGTGAGAATAACGTGACAAAAGAGACTCACTAAGAGACGTCACCAAGGCTTTTTAGAGGATCTAAACCGCTCCGACTACACATGAAACTGGTTCGGTAGTACTAGTGTTTCATTGCTGCTCAGATCCAGGTTGCTCAATAGAATTCACGATGAATTTGCAGTGGATCACAACTCAGTTCGTGATAAAGCGAAATAATCCGCCACATAATGAGTCACATTGAATGCATTAGCATCTATGATACCACTACGTCATGCAAGTCAATGAAGTAGGGTTTGGAACAATGACCCACTGCCTAAAATCAGTTTATGGGTGGATGAGTCGTTGCGGACCAATGCCAAATAACGTATGATTTAGTCTGCCAAATATTTGTCTACGTAACTAGGAGCAAATTTTATACATGCAAGAAAGCATATTACACCTGAAAAATGGAGAATGTAGGTGGGTGACAAAAATAGCTTCCTTTTACATCAAGAAACATGTACTACAAAATGACTAGGATAAATGTGAGAAAAACCAACGTTTCAAATCCCACAAAGTGAAGTCGATAGAATAAAATGGGTGTGATAACCATCAATGGAAATGCTAAGGGAGGGCGAACAAGTGAGTGATCCGGATTTTGGGAGTTTTTAAAAGGAAAACACCGATCTGTAAGATTCATACCTGCATCAATACGATCCCCCAGTATTCATGACGGAGAAGGAAACCGACATTTTCCTACGGGCAACCACTGGCCTTAAATGTAACATGTCCTGGTATAAGCACCCATAGCCTTTCTAAGACTAGCCACATTTTATTAGACATCGCTTGGTGTGATATAGGTTTTGGACCCTTATGTTCCCGCTTACACAGTGATGAGCAACAGTTTCTGCTGCAAAAGCCGAACGAATATATGATGGATAAATGTTTGATGCCATCACATTCTATGCGGCACTTTTTAAATACCTTATCCAATTATTGCAGCCATGAATTACTTTTTCCTGCCACAAATCTCGTTCAAGAGCAACTTACATCACACCACCGACCTTCTAATATTGCGTGGCGCAGCTCCGTTGCATCTTTGTGCTCCAAGGCTATTCCAGACTCTTTCGATAGCTGTGTATACGTGCCACTAAAAGTAGGCGTTACTTGAGTGAAAAATTCATACTTAAATCCCTTGTCACACAGATACTGGCCTATAAGACGCAGCATTTCTTCATCGCGAACCGATAAGCTCCTTGATATCGATCTAACCAAGGTGTAATCATTTTTCGTTGCGGTAACACCATTAAACTGGCCATACAAAACATCCCCGTTTTGTTGTAACATTACTCAAACCTAAGGTGGACCAGAGACAACGCCTGTCGGACAGAATAAGATGCTAGTATATTGGGAGTTTGTCAGATAACAGCTGATCAGAGATTGTCAGTCAGTTTAAACAGATGCCAAATGTCCAATAGCAAGTTCCTAAATTTTTGGTCGAAAATGTCTCCTCGATGCAACATGAAACCAACAGATATTTCTGGTTGAGATTTCGTTTTTGATAATCTTGAACTTCTTGGGTCAGAAACAAATATGTTTATAAACCGAACTTGACTCAGTTGGGGATCGACTCTCAGTGCCTTCGCGCATGTGCTTCGTGTCTGTTTGAATAGTCTGTATATATGTTTGTGTTTGTCTTCGGCCCAGTGGTGTCTTTTTAATATAGGTGGTTTGCGAGTGGAGTTGTCCGCTACTTCAAGTGTTAAAAGCGGCACGGGCGGGCTGATGGCATACATGGCTTTGTCAAGAGATTATCTTCAATGGGTATTCATCTCTTGTCAAACGTGGGCAGCCTCAAAATCTGTCGGTCCCAGTGCTGCCAGTAGTTCCGGAGCGTTCAGTCACCTAACTTTCCGAGAAGACTCTTCAGACGGTCAGGTTAGTTTGGCCTTACAGATATACCGGAGGCCGACGACAAACGACAACTGCTCAACTGAGAGGGGATTTCTATGCTGTCAACAACTCTTAATGTTTGGAGACTCGGTTAAGCGGGATGAGGTCTGAGCTGCACTCCATTTCCCAACTCATATCATTTCCCCACAAGTCTCCAGTCAGGTTGAAAACTCGGGCTTCGGCGGGACCCTCACTCTCGCTGAACGTATGATCTGCAAAGCGAACCCTAGCTAGGGTAAAATCTCTCATACTTGGAATGTATGTCCTCCGGTTTAAGGGAGCAATTGATTGCCTCAAATATGTGATTTCCGTGCGGGGAGCTAACAGATGACTTCCTATCGACAGGTGGTTATTACTAATCGCTTAGTGATCCTGAGGGGCTTTGTGACATCCCGAATTCCCTATCATTGACCTCACCCCGGATAAGTTCACACTCTGAATCGCCAAGTTGAGCTACTCAGTTGCAGAGGACTGCCTTGCACCACCAGAATCTGCTGCTTCCACAAGTTTCCTACACTAGTGAGGCCGTGTGTTTGGCAACATGTTTCTCCATCTTCAGACTCACTCTTATTAACTAGGAGTGAAATGCGACTCATTTGGCACCTTCCTTCTCTTGGCACTAGCGGTGGTACTTTATAACCTATTCGGCCATAGCTGCCAAAACGTAAGAAGCTGATACCCTGGATCCACTCAGCTTCAAACACTTCCTATGCCGCCCCAGTACCTCGTATCGGTCGGATGTGTATGAGCACCAGTTTCCCCCCTGAACGACGGCTATAACTTTCCAAAAGTAGTTCATATAACACACACGCACACACATCCTATGGAATGGTCAGTTAGATCTACGAGAGATGAATCTAAATGTGCAGCCTCTTACTTTCATCATCTCATGGACCAGGTGAGGATATAATCATGAGTCCAGATACACCAAGCCGTGATTTCTTTCGCTACGTGAACGACAAGACGCCTAGAGAGAGAGAGAGGTGATGGAATAATAACGATAACAATTTGATTCGCATGTAACAGTAGCTGTACACAAAGCTAGTGGTGGAATAATGGCATATGAGTGGCAGCGACTGACCCTTGTAGCCGACACCCAGTAGATGGGAGGCTCGCTGGTTTGTTACACGACTGTCGCGAATCACCAAAGCCCACTGTCCTCAAGCCATTAAAAATGGGCGCGAAAACTCCACACGCTGGCAACTACAAGATACTGGTCCCGACAAGGGAAACCACATAACCCTACCAGTACCACTGGTTTTCCTACAAAACTTCATGGCCGCGGTGAGCTAGTGTTTCTCAGTTCCCTGCCTCTGTTGCAATCGATTTTTCTGCAGAAGAATACATTTCGTTGGATGCCGAATGTTAGTTATTGCCCTTTTAAGTGACACCACTTCAGCCAAGATTTACAGTCGGATTTCTACGTTTTCTTAGAAAAATAATTAAATATAACGAAGTGAAGGTGGATATCCGCACTCTCCCAGGTGACGTTGAATTAGTTACTTTGTTGTTCTCAACAGATGTGTCTATGAAGTAGTGGTCTGTTCAGTGTAGACTGCTTCCCAACACTGCCTAAGGAACTTGAGTTCCATCTCGAATTTCATTCTGCCCCGATAACCCCAGCTGGTGGTCCCAGTTGGTGGACAAACTGTGGGAACTGAAAAGGTAACCTGAAACGAACCGGTCGTCATATAGTTCTCGCCGGCCGATTCCTTCTACGCTACCAGATGACTCAGTCAATACATAAGCCACCATGGTCCGTCGTCACGAGCTTTTCTCCTAGCGTATTATGATTTTGCTTTTCCAAAAGTCTTAAATTTCGTGTCGATGTTTTACTTAAGATTCAGAGCCAACCACCATGATCGTCACCATCAAATCCTGTTAAGGGAGGACACTTCGTAATTTCGTGCCCCTATCTGACATATATTCTCATGCCAAAACAGTCACTGATTCACGGCATCACACTGCTCTTGTTTCTGCATAGTACACGAACTACTTTGACCAAGAAAGATTTAGTTGTGCCATATAGTTTTTCGACATACAAGAGAGAGCGGTTTTTGGTAAGTAACTTCGCCATTCAACAAACGTTGGTGGGCAGGAATGTCATTACAACTAGTGCCTGCCACTTTATATGTGGTCTCGCTTTTAGCGAGGAATCATCTCAAGCTATCCTTCGGTTCACCTAAAATGTTTGGCACTGCATTCATTCTAACATTCAGCACTCATCAGTGTAATTTGTGTTTGTTTGTGCGTTGCTCAGTAATTTGGAATCTGAACGTTGTTCTGCAGGTTGACAATCATACCATTATAAGCATTTTAAGATTCGCGTTTCAACAAGATCTCACTACTGTATACTTCTAGGCTCTTTAGAAGGTAATACGGTCCTTCAGTGTTTCTGTACACGTACAATGTAAAACCAACCTTTTTATCCAAATCAGATCTGAACATCTGTGTGGCTAGTACAGTAGCTGCGGGTGAACTATCGACTATCTCTTTTGTCGCTTTGGTAACAGAAGAAATGCAGTGGATGAACTTCATCTACAAATAATTGTCGACGGTGGATATTGGCAGCTCTTCCAATATTAGCTCAGGTAGCCTGTAACAGCTTATGAAACAAAGCTCAAAATGTCCATATATGTAATGGTTCCTTATTGAAGGTCCTTGGCGTGAATCAATCTTTCTTCTGATATCAGAGCACTCGCTGCTTCGAAAACAAGCGTCATGGGTACCGGCTGGTTTCCAGACACTTTGGTGGCAGACTGGACTATCAGCCTCGTTTGAGCGACGCCTAATAACTATATTACTCTGATTTCACTGTCGGTAGCAAATTTGCCATTCTGAAACATAGCCGATATCTGTGTAGTAATCAGGAGGCAGAAACTTCGAGTTTATTATGACATGAATGACACCAAAGCGGTAGGTGTATTGCAAATGATAAATAATCCTCACCCCATGCCCACATTTTCTGTCATATTTTGTGCCAATCAGATTTTAAATAATAACGCAAACTTTCGTCGTCACTTCACCAAAAAGTCACTCTGACGTCAAGCTAAAAATGAACACCTCAGATTTGTCCACGTGGTTAACGCCGGAAAATATCCCGTATCACCGGCATTTTCATGCAGACAGTCGATGAGAACACCATGTTTCGACCGCCAAACCATACGCTGCGACTGATGTTATCATGTAAAACGGTGGACTGAAGTTCAGACCACAGATGCTTCTCGAGATCAGACTTAGAATGAATGCAGTGCCAAACATTTTAGGTGAACCGAAGGATAGCTTGAGATGATTCCTCGCTAAAAGCGAGACCACATATAAAGTGGCAGGCACTAGTTGTAATGACATTCCTGCCCACCAACGTTTGTTGAATGGCGAAGTTACTTACCAAAAACCGCTCTCTCTTGTATGTCGAAAAACTATATGGCACAACTAAATCTTTCTTGGTCAAAGTAGTTCGTGTACTATGCAGAAACAAGAGCAGTGTGATGCCGTGAATCAGTGACTGTTTTGGCATGAGAATATATGTCAGATAGGGGCACGAAATTACGAAGTGTCCTCCCTTAACAGGATTTGATGGTGACGATCATGGTGGTTGGCTCTGAATCTTAAGTAAAACATCGACACGAAATTTAAGACTTTTGGAAAAGCAAAATCATAATACGCTAGGAGAAAAGCTCGTGACGACGGACCATGGTGGCTTATGTATTGACTGAGTCATCTGGTAGCGTAGAAGGAATCGGCCGGCGAGAACTATATGACGACCGGTTCGTTTCAGGTTACCTTTTCAGTTCCCACAGTTTGTCCACCAACTGGGACCACCAGCTGGGGTTATCGGGGCAGAATGAAATTCGAGATGGAACTCAAGTTCCTTAGGCAGTGTTGGGAAGCAGTCTACACTGAACAGACCACTACTTCATAGACACATCTGTTGAGAACAACAAAGTAACTAATTCAACGTCACCTGGGAGAGTGCGGATATCCACCTTCACTTCGTTATATTTAATTATTTTTCTAAGAAAACGTAGAAATCCGACTGTAAATCTTGGCTGAAGTGGTGTCACTTAAAAGGGCAATAACTAACATTCGGCATCCAACGAAATGTATTCTTCTGCAGAAAAATCGATTGCAACAGAGGCAGGGAACTGAGAAACACTAGCTCACCGCGGCCATGAAGTTTTGTAGGAAAACCAGTGGTACTGGTAGGGTTATGTGGTTTCCCTTGTCGGGACCAGTATCTTGTAGTTGCCAGCGTGTGGAGTTTTCGCGCCCATTTTTAATGGCTTGAGGACAGTGGGCTTTGGTGATTCGCGACAGTCGTGTAACAAACCAGCGAGCCTCCCATCTACTGGGTGTCGGCTACAAGGGTCAGTCGCTGCCACTCATATGCCATT